AGGAGTCGCGCCCGTTGTGGCCCCATGTGCATGCCCTTCGTGGCCCCGCTGTCGCCATTTGTGTCCCCCTCACTGTCCTACGTGGCCCAGTTGCTACCCTCAGTGGCCCCATCGTTGCCTTCTGTGGCCCCGCATTATCTGCACTTCGTGGCCCCCGCTCGTTCGCGCTCTTCGTGGCCCCATACGCATTCCCTTCGTGTCCCCGCTGTCGCCCTTCGTGGCCTACTTCGTGCCCTTCGTGGTCCTGCTGTCGTTCTCTCTCGCTCTCGCTTTCGCTCGTCGTCGCCGTCGTCGTCGTCGTCGTCGTCGTCTTCGACGTCGTCGTCGTCGTCGTCGTCGTCGGTCGGTCCCCTGTCCGTCCCTCTTGGGGTCGGGTCGACGGTCCGCGGCCGCCCCGCCGATCAGCGCTGCCGCTGGCCAGGCCGACGGTCCGCGGCCGCCCCGCCGCTTGCCGGGCCCGGCCTGCAGGGAAGAAAGGTATACCCCCCAAAAGGGGTTCGATCGAAGACGAAGAGGGCGGGTATCGAGGGTTTGGGAAATACGCGTCATTGGACACTCGAGCATATAAGGGCGAACAGTCTTAAAATTATTGTTGTTGTTGTTGTTGTTGTTGTTGTTGTTGTTGTTGTTGTTGTTGTTGAACTCTCATTTTGAATGATAATTATTGTTGCCCCCCCTCAGGTAACCATCACATTCTTTTGAATGAAAGCTCACGCCCCTGTTTTTACAAGGGAGGATGAGGGGTCACCAAACTGAGCCCCTTGGCCCCCGGCTTACAACAACAGCGGCCCCCGCTTGTTGCTTCCCCGCAATCTATGCCAAAATGGAGCTCTAACGCAGGACGTCCTAACAATTTACACAGGAATCGCGCTCTCGCGTGGGACTTCTTCGCGGTTTCTGTTGACGCCGCGCCCTCGACAAGCAGGAATCATGCTCACGCTGGGGGTGTCTTGTGATTTACTGAGGAATCGCGCTATCGGTCGAGATTTCCATGCGATTCATGCAGAACTCATGCTTAAGCATCCCGCCTGCTCGACCTGGCTGCCGGGGCCCGCCTTCCCGACCCGCCCGCTAGGGTCTGCCCACCCGATCAGCCCGTCTGGTTCTGCCATGTGTTTTCTGCTCCTAGCCCCCCTCTTGATAAATCCGTGCTCCATCCTTCTCCTTCCCTCCTCCATCCGTCCTCTCTTGCTCTGTTTTCAGGGGCTGCGCCAATCACACGCGGCAGGTAAGGAAAATATGCCTTCAAGGGGGTACGGTCGTAGACGAAGAGGGCTGGTATCGACGGTTGGGATATACGTGTCGAATGGCACTCGAACGGATAAGAGCGAACAGTCTCAAATTTGTTGTTGTTGTGGTTGTTGTTGTCGTAGTCGTCGTCGTCGTCGTCGTCGTCGTCGTCGTCGTCGTTGTCATAGTTGTTGTTGTTGCTGCCACTGCTGTTGTTTTTTGTTGTTGCTGTTGACAGACGAGTTATTAATGTTGATCCACCCCTACGGTAGCCACTCCCATTTTGATTTTAAGTGCTTCCTCCGGGCCTCGCACGCTCAATAAGGGAGACTGAAGGATCACCAAACTGGGCCCCTGGCCCCCAGTTTCCAACAACAGCGGCTCCCGCCTTCCCAAATCGCGCCTTCGCGCGGCATCCCCGCACAATTTGCATAGAAATCGCGCTTTCGCGGGGGATTTTTTCGCTTTTTATTCAGTCGCCGCGCCCTCGACACTCATGAATCTCGCGTTCGCTGTGGATTTCCTCGCGATTTATTTGGGAATCGCGCTGTCGGTCGAGAGTTCTAAGCGATACAACACGCACGCTTCAGCAACACGCCTGCTCGACCTGGCCGCCTGGGCCCGCCTTCCCGACTCGCCCGTTAGGGTCTACCCTCCCGATCAGCCCGTCTGGTTCTGCCACGTGTTTTCTGCTCCCAGCCACCCTCCTCGTACTCACTCTCGTGCTCCATTCTGCTCCCTCCCCCTTGTCCCTTTCTTCCATCCGTCCTCTCTTCTCCTGTTCTAGCGACTGCGCGAAATACACGATGCAAGTAAGAAAGATCTATTCCTGATGGGGGTACGATCGAAGACGAAGAGGGCGAGTATCGCGGGTTTGGGAATATACTTTTCGAGTGACCCTTCAGCTCATTGTGGTTGTTGTTGTTGTTGTTGTTGTGGTAGTTGTGACGTTGTTGTTGTTGCGGTTGCTGCTGTTGTTGCTGTTGCTGCTGCTGCTGTTGTGGTTGATGCTGCTGCTGTTGTGGTTGTTGCTGCTGTTGGTTGCTGTTCCGGTTGAGCTCTTATTATTGAAGAACAAATTATTGTTGATCCCCCCTCCGGTGCACACTGTATTTTTCAATTGAAATGCCCCTCCCGGCGCGCACCCTGTTTCTTATTAGGTAAAGTCTTCATCCTCAAACTGCGTTGCTGGGTCCCGGGTTACAACAACAACGGCTCCCGCCTACGACTTCCTCACACAATTTAGCCAGGACGCCCGCTCTCGCCAGAGACTTCCTCGCATTTTATTCAGGGATCGCGCTCTCGCTGGGGACTTCCTGACAATTTATTCAGGAATCGCTTTCTCGGCGCTGTGGAGTCGCGCTCTCGCTGGAGACTTGCTTGTAATTTACTCAAGAATGGCGCCCTTGCGTTGGAACTTCTTGCAATTTACTCAAGCGCCGCGCTCCTGACACTCAGGCACCTAGGAATCGCACTCACGCTCAGGACCCCCTCGCAGATTATTTAGGAATCGGGATCTCGCTGCCATTCGCGGCTCCGTTGCAGCCTTTCGTGGCCTCCTCGCTGCCCTTCGTGGACCCGTTGTAGCCCTTCGTGGCCCCTTCGCTGCCCTGCGTTGCCCCGTTGCAGCACCTCGTGGCCCCCTCGCTGCCCTTCGTGGACCCGTTGCAGTCCTTCGTGGCCGTCTCGCTTTGTTTCGTGGCCCCCTTCGTTGTCCTTCGTAGCCATTCCTCTCGGGGAGGGGGGCCGCGCCGCCCGGGACCCTGCCCCGAGGTCCGCCGGCCAACTTGGGAGTGGCCCTGCCGGCGGGGGCCAGGTGCAATGTGCAGGGGGGGCGTCTCGCATTGCCGTTTGCGGTGCGAGGCAGCGAATGCGATGGGCTGGAGGTGTTGCTTTTACCGTGTTCCCTCAAGAAGAGGTCCCACGTGCCCGTGACGGGCGACGCGCAGGCCAGCATGCGGACGGTCGACGAGGCACGGGGGGGCCCACAGTGGGACATAGGAGTCTAAACTGCTGTGGGGTGGCGGTGGTGAAGATGACCGATTCGGCAGTTCACCTAGATGTACACGTTCACGGAAGCCGCCCAGTACATTGGGCCCGTGTTTCTGTACTAATGCCCGTTTTTCAGGAGATGGGGGGAGCCTGGTAGTGCACTGACCCACCCGCCTGAGGGCTCATGCATGGTTTTGTTATTGGTACCTACACTTTACCTTTCTCTTTCAATGCATTGGATTGGGCTGTGTTCGGATACTTTTCAGCGTACGTTTGGTCACGCAGCGCCAGCGTAGCCTGAAAAGGAGCGCGCTCGCCTTCGGCTAGTTGGCTTGGGCGCAAGATTATCGACACTGGTGGGCAATCACTCATTGTTCATTGGTGGCTCTGCAGTGCACAGTGCTTTGTGGAGTACGTGACGTACATGTTGTACACCATCCTTAGAGGCTCTAAGCACGCTCGGCCCTCAGGACGTTATAGGAGAATCTAGGAGAATCGTTGTCCTTCGTGGCCCCGTTGTAGCCCCTCGTGGCCCCCTCGCTGCCTTTCGTGGCTCCGTTGCAGCCCTTCGTGGCCCCCTCGCTGCCCTTCGTGGCCCCGGTGCAGCCCTTCGTGGCCCCCTCTATGTATGCCCTTCGTGGCCCCCGCTCGTTTGCGCCCGTCGTGGCCCCATGTGCATGCATGCCCTTCGTGGCCCCGTTGTCGCCCTTCGTGGCCCCGTTGCTGCCCTCAATGGCCCCGTCCTTGCCCTCCGCGGCCCAATATACGTATGCCCTTTGTGGCCCCCGCTCGTTCGCGCCCGTCGTGGCCCTATGTGCATGCCCTTCGGGGCCCCGCTGTCGCCCTTTGTGGCCCCCTCGCTGTCCTACGTCGCCCAGTTGCTACCCTCAGTGGCCCCGTCGTTGCCTTCTGTGGCCCCGCATTATCTGCCCTTCGTGGCCCCCGCTCGTTCGCGCTCTTCGTGGCTCCATGCGCATTCCCTTCGTGTCCCCGCTGTCTCCCTTCGTGGCCTACTTCGTGCCCTTCGTGGCCCTGCTGTCGTTTTTTTTTTTTTTGTTTCTCTCTCTCTCTCTCTCTCTCGCTCTCGCTTTCGCTCGTCGTCGTCGTCGTCGCTGCCGTCGTCGTCGCCGTCGTCGTCGTCGTCGTCGTCGTCGTCGTCGTGGTCGGTCTCCTGTCCGTCCCTCTTGGAGTCGGGTTGCCGCCGATCAGCGCTGCCGCTGGCCAGGCCGACGGTCCGCGGCCGCCCCGCCGCTTGCCGGGGCCCGGCCTGCAGGGATGAAAGGTATACCTCCCAAAATGGGCACGATCGAAGACGAAGAGGGCGGGTATCGAGGGTTTGGGACAGACGCGGTAAAGGACGTTCGAGCAGATAAGAGCGAACAGCTTAACATTATTGTTGTTTTTGTTCTTGTTGATGCTGCTGTTGTTGTTACTTGTTTGTTGTCGTTGTGTTGGTGCTACCTCTGCTGATGTTGATGATGATGCTGCTGATGATGGTGATGGTGATGGTGATGGTGATGGTGATGGTGATGGTGATGGTGATGGTGAGGGTTATGGTGGTGATGATGACGATGATGCGGAGGAGGAGGAAGAGGATGTTGAGGAGGAGGAGGAGCAGCAGGAGCAGGAGGAAAGGAGGAGGCAGGAGGGAGGAGGAGGAGGAGGAGTGAGTAGGGAAGCGGAAGGAGGAAGGCAGGAGGAACAGGTTTTTTTCTTCCCTGGGGGCTCTCGGCGGAGGGCCTCCGCTGGGCGCCGCCGCCCGCGCGCGCGCGCGAGAGGCGGTCCGCGCCCAGCACTCCGCCTTCGAGGAGGCCTCGCGGCGGCCCGGCCCGCGACGGGCTGGCCACGACTCGCAGGGCTCCTCCCGGCTCCCCCGACTCGATTGGATTCGAATTCGATGGTTTCTGATTCCGATCCGGTTCGCCTTCGGATTCAAATTTAGGCTCCGATGTCTCATTGGAGGCCTACTGGCGTGCAGATTTCCGCTGGTTCGACTCCTAGCGATCTGGCTGCCGATTTCCGCCGATCCGATTCATGTCGATCGCCAGTCCGACTCATCGATTCGATTCTGGTCTCGCCTGATTCTCAGAAGGGCAGGAGGTCATGTCAATGAGGCGTTCTAATTTTGCCAAGGATTGACGCGATGTTTTTTTGTTTTTTTCTTTCCGCAGGGGTTCCAGAGACAACGGCTTCCAGAGTTCCTTGAACGCAGCCATCCTGAGCCAATCGTCTCTTGACATCATCCTCGTTCTAGCTACGACGCCGCGGCAGGACACCCGTCTCCAGGAGGAGGGGCCCAGACCAGGGCCCACGTCGGCTCGATCGACCCGACTCGATTCCGATCTCGCCGGGGCCAGTCCGATTAGATTCCGGCTTTCTGGCGGTCCGATGCGGCCCGATGCTTGCATGGCGTTGTCGTGCAGTGCCGCCCGGCGCGGCTGATCCAATTCGACGCCCACTCTGAGCCGATGCGGCCCGATCCAATGCACCTTCCGATCCGATCCGGTTTGCCGACTCGATGCTGACCGCTCCTGCTCCTCCAGGAGGAGGGGCCCAGGCTTCGGGCGGGCTGTTTTTTTATCCCCGAGTTTGTCCTCCAGGTCGGCTCCGCGGGGGCCGTCGCGACCAGAATTATATTACCACGGCGAAAATAATACGCCTTCCTGGGAAGGGGTCGAGATCTTTGGGGACCGCAGTCTGAGATAATCAAGTCATCGGATGTCTGGGAGGAGGATGAGGGAAGGAGGAGGAGGAGGAGGAGGAAAAGGAGGAGGAGGGGAGGAGGGAGGAGGAGGGACCAGGAGGGAGGGAGGAGGAGGAGGAGGAGGAGGAGGAGGAGAAAGAATGGAGGAGGGAGTCCCACGAGTGCACCTTGGCGCGGCCGTCCACGATCAGAAAACATCGACGTCATTCGTGAGCTCCCGCTTCAGAGCCCGCGCCCCCAGATTTTGCATCCAATCTCGGAGCCATCGCCCCCTCCTTTCGCCGGCGCGCCCAGGTGTGCCGACCCCTCAGACTGTCAGCAGGATGCACCAACTACCCCAATTGCAGGAAAGAGGCGAGGACAGGAGAGGTCGCCGTCGCCCGCCCTCTGATACCAGCCTGGAACAGATCCCTATCTCCATGATTGGCATCGTCTCATCTCGATGCCGATCTTTAAGACTCCCCCAGCTGTTGAGGTCACACCCCTAAGATTGTCATCGCCTTTTGGCTCGTCAATCTTAGGGATAGGGATGAGTTCGAGGCTGATTACTCTGGGCTTCGCCGATGACCTCCGGTAAGGGAGGTGGGCTCTCTGACCATCAGGGCTGCGCGCAGCGCCCACGTGGGCCTCGCGCGCGGGGGTTCCACGAACCTGGACATCCTCGAGACTTGCTATCGGGACGTCCAGAGGGCCCGCTGCATGCGCGCTGCGCGGGGCCCTGTGGAATCGTGCTGAGTGGTGCCCTCGCGCGACGACGAGGGTTGCGCATCGGTCAGCGCGTGCTCGAGCAAAGAAGTTAGTGCATGTTACCTTTCACCGTTTGGTCCCACTCAGTGCAGAAGGAAAGCTTGCTAGGAAATGGCAGCCATGATCGTCGGGGGTCGATGGTCCCAAACGCCCCGCACGGGCCGAAGCATGGAAGCACGCGGCCGTTTTTGCTTGCTACCGCGGCGCCTCGAGACCTGGGCCTCGGGAGTTCTTTGGAGGTCCCCTAGAGCGCTCCCCAACCCCCATCCTCGAGGAGACGGGAGAACTGGAGCCCCCGCCCGGTCGGGCGTTGCTGGGCATGCCTCTGGCCGGAGGTACCCCCAAGAGTTCCAGGGATGCCCCTCACGGCCTCCGGAGCACCCCTCACAAGGTCCAGAAGGCCCCAGGGGCTTCAAAATGGAGCGATACGCTGGGGGCACGTCGGACCAGGAGCACCTTTGGCAGCCCCTGACCCGGAGGTTCTCAAGGCAGGAGGGCTGGAGGTGCCAGGGGGATCCAAGAAAATACTTTGCCTTCCCTCGATCCTAGGAGGCGGGGCCGCCATGACCCACGGGTTTTGGTTTGGGTGGCTCCGCCCGGGAGCCAGCATCGCATCCCCTTCATGCAGGGGCTGTCCATCGCGATGTTCGTCTGAGCCTTCGCCTCTCTCCGAGTAGGAGATCGACTACAGACATTGATTTGCCCCAGAATTGTGTTTTTCGTCGGCTCCTAACGTTCCGTCGATTTATCTATCATTTGACGCACTTGTCGTAAATCCGACGGACAAATCAATCCAGGGGCGAATCAATTCTGCAATCGATATCCTATTCGATCTCTGGATCTGACCCCCGCGGGATGCCGCTGGAGGCTTCCGATGCCTTCAGATGCTCCAGAGAAGGTCCCAAAAAACTTCTAACCTTGAGGAGGGTCGGAGGAAGGAGAAGCGACGCAACCACCGCCTCCACCGGGAGGCCCCGCCTCCAACGAGGAGGTCCACGGTGCCTTCCCGATTTGGTCATCGGAGACGCCTTGAGCGGGGCGCCGCGAAACTGAGGTACTTCACCACTGGGGGGCCCCAACCTGGCTTCTCGCGGTGGTTGTGGTGCCACTTTCTCTATTCATCAATACGCCGAATTACGGACCACTGTTGGCTCAGGAGCGGCTCTGGTTTTAGGGCCATTCTTCAGATCTGTGTGGGGGAACCCACTCGTGACCGAGGCTCGTCGTGGCTTTTGGGGGCTGAAGAGTGGCACCGTTTCTTTTTCAGCGCTCCACGTGGTAGCGCGATGATTGTATCACAGAGGCAGGGGAGGGTGGGTGGGGCAGTGAGAGGTCCACCTGTCGCAGAACCAGGTCACCCAGCACGGTGCCGCCGCACTGCTGCTCGCAGTAGCGCTGCACCCCAGCGAGGCGGGAGATCGGCGCGCCTGGCCCTCTAGCCTGTCTCGTCGTCGCCGTCCTCCTCCTCTTCCTCCTCCTCCTCCTTGCTTGACGTTGCGCTAACTCAAGTCCTCCTCCTCCTCCTGCTTCTTCTCCTTCCTCGCGTGGGGAGGGGCGTGGGTCACGGAGCCCAGGGTGCACAGCCCATACAGGGGTTGCATATGGGGATGTCCGGGGGCCAGGGATCGTTTCAAGCATTCGTATTGCCACTGCTCCCTTATGTGCGTCTTAGGGCGTCGGCAGATGAAAGGTGACCCCCTTTTATGGACCCCCTCCTGGCTCTAGATCTGGTCCACCCCCTGAGGCTTTCAAGTCTACTGCTAGGCCCTTTCACCTGTATGGGTGGGCCCACCAGGAGAGCAAGGCCCACCCGACCCCTCTTTCTCTTGAGGCCGCCCACAGCTGGGTGCGGGCCGCCCTGCAGGCCGTCGAGCTGCTCCTCGGAAATCACGGCCGCAGGCGGCCTCGGAGGCAATCGATGCGAAGAAGACGTCGCCTCCCCCCCCCCCCACACGCTCCAATCTCCTCCTCCCTGGCTTTCCACGCTCGTACCAAAATGAATGAAGCTAGCTGCCGCCGCTGCCGCCCCGACGCTTCTAATCTCCTCCTCCCTGGTTTTCCATGCTTATACCAGGATGAAGATAGCTGCCGCCGCTGCCGCCTCGACGTTTGACGCGGTAGCGTCCGCGCACAGCGCAGCACGTGCCCTCCTTTGGCGTTGCTCGTCTCCCCTGTCGCCCGCCCAGACGGCCGCATCGGGGACACGCGTCGACCCCAGGGTAGTGTCATTTGCTGCTCCTCCTCCTCCGAAGACATCGTCTGTTGAGAGTCTTCAGTCCTCCTCCTCCTCCTCCTCCTCCTCCTCCTCCTGGAACCCGACACCGACAGACCAGACACCGTCACTCCTCTGTCGGTGTTTGGTCCCGTCGTCTCTCTCCTCCACCCTTCGTCGTTTCATCACTGGGGCGATGAGATGCAGCGGCTGGCCAGCGAACGGGCGAAACAATATCTCCGTGATGTGACCCCCACCGACGCTCTCAACTCGCATCGACAGAGGATGCGGGCCATTGAACGGCGTGCGAGACTCTGGGCTTCTTTCTCTAGCCGCGTTTTCTTGCGTTCTCTACTGGTCGGGGATGAGACTGTTGTGGATCCTCAGAGGCAGGTTCAGCTCATCACATATCATTGTCAGGCACGCGCAGAGGGGGTAGGGGGAGGGGGGAAGGGGGAAGGCTTCTTAGAAGCACACCTGCTTCTTCGAAGGCGTGGGCCTATGGATGTAGGACCAGCGTCTTCTAAGAAGAGCCTTCTTCTAAGACATTTTCCCCTTTGTGCGAGCAGCCAACATTAGGCCCCCGTCTTCTCGAATCAGGACTGGGATCGCAGAGCAGCCGAGGTTTATGCTGAATGCTTCATGCTGGTCGCGGATCTCTCGAGCCATCTCTATTCACCATGCGTGTTGCTTACGGACGTGCTGTGCATTCTGCCACGGGTGTGGGTGCTTTTCCCCATGCTACCTGAGGGGCCCACCTAAGCGGTCTCAGTTGCTCTCCTATGGCAGTTTCAGGGCTTTTCTTTTTCCGATTCGGAACGCGTCACGATACAGGCAGTTCTACCCAACGGCTCTGAACCAGAAGACGGTCGAGATGGAGCCTGCACGCGCGCAGTGGGGCCTTTACGCATCACAGGCCTCCGAAATACCAGTACAACATTGATGACGGCAGCGGTAATCATTTCAATCTCGAACGTTGTCGATCAGGTGGTTCTTTCATCTCAACGTGGTTTCGTTCGGTGCCGCAATTTTCTGAACATGGTAGAGTGATATTGCCTTGCGCGTCAGTGCTTGTCACAATGTGAAGCGTCGACGAACAGGCCATTCTTAGTTTCCCTGGACATTTCCCAGGCCTTCCCTAGTCTACATTATATGTCTATGATTTTCGCATTTCGTGTTGTGAGGGTCCCTCCGCCCTCTTCTCCTTCATCTCCCTCCTGTGTGCCATCGAGGGTGTCGCGTCTGCCGCCAGTACCATGGTGCACGCGTTCTGGATCAGGCCTGGTATTGTGCAAGGGCGTACTTTGTCAGGGTCACTCTTTACGCTTGCCCTGTCGCCGTTCCTGAAGGACCTTGAGGCGTGCATCGAGCGGCCTGGAATTGCTGCTGTCCAGGCCTGCGCGGATGACCTCGGTGCTATGTTCAAGTCTGCCACGGCACTGTGGCGCATGGCCCGCGGGATGAAGGTTGCGGCCAGGATCGCCACGTTGATTCTAAAACCGACAAAATGAATGATTGTCCCGTTGTTGGCCGCGTACACGGCGGAGGTGGCCATGTCCATCAAGGCTTTCCTCCAGTCCTATATGCCGCGCTGCGTCGGGTTTGACGTCGTTGCTGAGCATACTTGCCTAGGCTTCTGGATGGGCCCCAGCGTTACTCCAGAGCGGTTTCGGCGAGCCCCTCTAGACAAATTTCTTTGACGTGCGCGGGCAGTATTTCAATGAAGCACTGCCATGAGTGAATCCACCTTCCTTTACTCTTGCCGTTTCCTCCCTGTCTTAAACTACGTTTCTCGACTTGCTCCTCTCCCTCCTACCGTGCTTGGTCATGATCTGTCGGTGCTCGCTAGCACTTTTCTTCTGCCCCTGGGGGCTTTCGATATAGACAGCTGGACTCTGCACTCGAGGACGGAATGTGGTGCAGCTATCACTGAACGCGCTGCCAAGCACATCATATTTGAGTACTCCTGCCATGCCACGCGGTGGCGATCTCACGTGGCTTGCCTGGGAGACGAGTTATCGCTGCACATGCTTGGAAGCCGGGCGTTCGCACCGTCGTATTGGCAATACCCGACATTTGCCGAATACCTTGGCAGTGCTCTTCATCCTGTCGCTACCGCCACCAAGTACCCTGTCGAGTTTTTCTTGCCGCTGCTGCTGCTTCTCTGCCTTTCCTTGCCTCCGCCCCGCCTTCCCCGAGGCCACGCTGGCAACGCTTGGCCATGGATGCGCTCAGACGCGCTCGTTCTGGCGAACCGATCCCCGCTCTCTTCATTCGTCGCTTGTCGAAATGGGGGCCAGATAGAGCGGCCGAGATCGAGAACGCACCGTGGGGTGCCCTCCAGCGTCTTCTCATTTCTGTTCCTCCGTTTTGGGTCTGGCCCGTCCCCGCACTCTCTCAGGAACTGAGTGCGCGTCATGCCGGATCCTGACCCTGGGCGTTCGCAAGGCGTGCTTTTTGGCTGTATCAGGTATCTCGATGGCCAGTGCCATTATGCCGCCTGCCCGCAGTTGTGGTGGGCTTCTTCGTCTGTCCTCAGTCGTGACCTTTCCCCTCTTTGTCCTCTCACGCGATAGGTTGTCCTGGCTCCGACGGTCAACGTCGTCGAAGAGGTCGCCATCGCATGTCATGCCCGTCACACGCGCCGCCTGTTGCGTAGTCCCATTTCTCCAAATGATCTCGGCTCGGCAGTCTTGGCGGCACTGCACTCTGTTCGTACGTGCTCGCCGCTTTCGCCTGCTTAGTCCGGTGGGCACTCCGCTCTTTCTCTACGCTCGGCTCCTCCTCGTCCTTTTCCTCCCTCCCTCCCTCCTCCCTCCTCCCTCCTCCCTTTCTCCTCCGTTGGGGAGGCCATGCGCGATTTCCACTGGACGGGCGGCCCGACGGTGCCCGTGCCTACGCTCGTGGAAGATGAGGGCAGGCGCTAGGTGCGCCCAGCGGGGTGGGCGGCGGAGAAAGGAGGAAACGCCAACGTCCTCGTGCTCCGCCTGTTCTCCCCCCCCCCCCACCCACGGGCACTAGAACAAAATAGCCACGATCTCCGTGCGCTGGATCCAATCCTCGAGGGTGATGACCAGCCAGGGCATCAAGTGGGAGGAGGCTTTCGGCCAGATCAAGAGCGTCAGGGTGGTGGGGCCCAACGCGGGGCCGCCGACGCTGCACCGCTTCGCCGCCCGTGCCGGACCCCATAGGGCTGGATGATCGCTCGTGAGTAAAGGCTCGCGCCGCCGGACGCGCCCGCCATAGCGCCCCGACCCAGGCCTCCCTCACGCCCTCTTGCCTCCCGCGCGAACTCGGGCGCCGGCACCTCCTTTGGCCATTGGCCATTGGCCATTGGCCATTGGCCAGACGGGGCACGCTCCGCAGGGCCGCCCAGGCTTGGGCGGGGCTGAGCGCGGAGGGCGCGCGCTGCGCCCAGCGACCATGCCGACGCAGGGAGAAACCTGGCGTGGGCCAGTTTCGGCGCGCTGCCGCAGCAGGGCTGGGGGAGACGACCCCGTGCGCGTGGACGGCAACCCACCTGGCGTGATTGCGACAAGGACCGCCGCCTCCCACCCAACATTGCAGCGAGCTTGATGAGGCGTGGCGCAGCGAGGCGAGGCGGGCCCTCCCCCCGCTTCGAGCGTAGCGCGCCCCCCTGTACCCCCCCCCAGGCGGGACGGTCAGCTCAGGTTGATGCAGCTTTCCCCTCATCCGGCCGCCCCACTCTCCCGTCCCCCGTCGGTCCCGCCCCCTGCCCTCGCCCCCCCCCTTCCTTGCCCGTGTCCGCCACCCCCTCGCCCCCCTCCGTGCACAAGATGGCTCATTGTGCCGCCGCCGTCGCCGCCCTGCCAGGCCGACAGTGGCCGGCCGCGGGGCATGGATCAGCCCGACGCCGCGGCACTTGTGGTCTGGGCGACGAGCGCCGCGGCCACGGCGGCGGCCGCGGAGGCGCGAGTCTGGGGGCCGGCCGACCTCCGCGGATGCCGCGGAGTGTCTCCTGTGGGATATCGGGGCGCTGCAAGCGGCCCGGCCGGGCTTCCCCTTGGGCCCAACCAGCGGCCATTTCCCACGCGTGCTGGGCCAGGGTAACCTAGGCGCGTGGCACTTGTTCGACGCGGCGCTGGCGACGACCCCGCAGAATTTGCGCGTGCGGCTGGAAGCCGACGCCTACGGGGCACTCGTCTGGCGGGTCCACGGAGCTTGGGAGGGCGCCTTGCCCGTGCAGGACAGCAGGATGGCGCCCGGGGCGGCGCGCGCCGCCCCGAATGTGCTTGCCGCAGCGAGCGTGGGTGGGAGCTTTGGCGCGCGAGGGGGCGCGGGCGCCCAGAGGGCTTGCATTGGCGCAGTGCTCGAGCGGCTGAACGAGGTACGGGTGGCGGTGGCGGCCGTAGCGGAGTTCTGCCTCGGACTTGGTTCGCGGTGGCCAGACGCAGGCTATGTTTCAACGGCGAGCGCACTTCGTCCCCAGGCACCGTCGTCGTGCTGGTCCGCGAGAGCATTAGGCGAAACAGCTGCCCCAGTAGCCGAGGTGCGTGACGACTGGGCGATTTTGCTGTCGCTCCCCAGGCGGACGGGATCCAGGCGTCCTTGTCTGGGCAGCTTTCGGGCCGCTTCCAGCGCGCGGCGCCGTAGTCCTCGAGCAGTTCTGACACGCGTGGCTGATGGAGTGGCGGCGGCACGCCCTCCAGCCTCAGTTCCGAGGCAGGCGGCTGGCGATCCCGGGCGACGCCGTCTTGCACTTCGCGGAATTGGCCCCAGGGAGCGCGCGTTACGAGGGGCCCTCGGAACGCTGCATCTGGGAGCTTCTGCGGGCGGCGGAGGGTTTCAGCGCGGTGATCCGCAACCCGCGGGCCACGCCCGCGCATGTATCGGAGGCCGCTGTCGATTGGGTTGCCGCGTCGCAGGACTTGCCGGCGGCGGTGGAGGTCATCCTGCCGGGTGCGCAGGGCGCTCCCGCGGACCACGGCCTCCTGCCGGGCCAGGTTCGGGTGGGCGAGTCGCCGCGCGTCGGCTGGGCGCGGTGGCAGGCGGGTGCGGACTGGACGGGAGGCATCGCGGTGTGGTGGCGGGCGGTGGTCCTCATCATCCAGGTGCACCTGGGCGGGTTCGGGACGGTGTGCTGGCTGAAGCGGCCGACCGGGACTGGCTTGGCAAGGCCCCCGCAGGAGGGCCCCCTCCCCGCCCCGCCGAGCAGTCCCCCCGCCAGGGGCGCCGCCGCCAGGGCGGTCAGCGCACTCGCGGGCACCCAGGATAGGCAGATGCGGCGCTGCCTACGCTTGGCGGACGAGGCACCCGGCGAGGCGGTGGCCTACCTTAGCGCCTTGCTTCGCCCGCGCGCGCCGCCGACTCTTTCCCTGGTCGACGCGGCCTCGGGCGCCCAGCGGGCCCCGCTGTCGCTCTGGAGGCCGTCCCATGTAACGCGTTGGATCAAGGCAGAGCCGCAGGGCCTGGCGTCCCAGCCCTTGCCGAAGAGGTAGCCGGCGCGGTGCGAGCGGGGGTGCGCTGCGACGCTGCCCTTCTTGCGGGGGGGCTGCTGGTGACGCTGCAGCTCCGGCGTGCGGCCAGCCTTTGGACACTGCTGGCCAAGGCGCCTGTGTGGCGTCGACTAGGCGCGACGCCGTGCGCCTCGGCCTTTGGCTCGCTGGGGTGAGGGGGCGGCGGTGGGTGACGGCGAACTCCTCGCTGGGGCCAGATCAGGTTCGGGTCCGCCTGGGCGCGCTAGCGGCAGCGGCGATGGCGGTGACGGAGTTCGGCGTCGGCCAGGGTCGTCGGGCTGGCATCCACATCTTCGGCGTCTTTGTGAGGGGCCTCATCGACGCGGGCGTCGGAGCCAGGCCTGGCGTGGCGTTCGGCAGTCGTCGACGACCCCTTCGTAGCCAGGGGGGATGAACCCGCGGTGGCGGCCGTGGCGGAGGCGCTCTCAGCCTGGTGCCTGCGTCGGCACCACAGGTTCCAAAGCGGGACAGGCAACGGGCGGTCATGGCGGTGGCCAGAGTGTGCATTGGGAAGCTCGTGCCCTCCGCCCGCCCGCTCCCCAGAACTGACACTTTGGACCACAGGGGAGGGAAGAGGGGGAGGGGGACAGCCAATCATCTCACGCGCTGTCTCACCCACCGCAATTGGGGGTCGGCGGACTGCTGTGCTGGGCTTTGCTCGCCAGGGCACGCGTTCGTCCATGGCCTCACACAGGATCGCTGATGATGATGCTGCTGATGAGGGTGATGTTAATCATTATAATCATAATGATAATGATGCTGATGATAATGATGATGATGCTGATGATGATGATGATGATGACGATGATGATGATGATCGTGATGATGGTGAAGATGATGCTGATGCTGATGCTGATGCTGATAATGATGACGATGACGACGATGCTTATGCTGATGATGCTGCTGATGCTGATGCTGATGCTGATGCTGATGCTGATGCTGATGCTGATGCTGATGATGCTTCTGATAATGACGATGATGATGCTGCTGATGATGATGAGACTTATGATGATGATGCTGATGATGATGATGATGAGGATGATGATGATGACGATGCTGACGATGATGATGATGATGATGATGATGATGATGATGATGATGATGATGATGATGATGATGATGATGATGATGATGAAGATGATGATGATGATGATGATCATGATGATCATGATGATCATGATGATGGTGGTGGTGGTGTGGTGGTGGTGGTGGTGGTGCGACTGCTCTCGCAGGACATTCGTTTGCTTGCTCTTGCAGACGGCGCGTCTAAGGTAGACGACGCAAGGTGCACCCAGGTATCGCACATGATATCATGCTTTGCCCAGCATGAGGCAGTAGGTGGTGACATCCTAGCCCGCCTGATTACCAACCTGCTCCTCCTCCTCCTCTTCTCGGTTCACTCCCCCCCTCCGCAGAAGCCGTTCTAGCACAGGCTGCCCCGCCTTCTGGGGCGCCGGCGTTGTCAGACAAAGCCCCCAGTCCGGGTGTTGATAAAGGTGCCCCTAGCCCGAGGTGCCCCCCTGCGTTTCGCTCCACTGTGGGGCCCCCTGGGCCTCGTGAGGGGTGCTCTGGAGGCCGTGGGGGCCTCCTTGGAAATCCTGGGGGTTGGGCCAAGGGCGCTTCTAGCAAACCCAGTCCAGCGGAGGAGAGCCGCGTGAGACAACGGCGGTGAGACAACGGCCGCCCACATTCACGAAAAATCTGTCCGTGGATTTCCCCCGGGGTCCAAGCGCACCAGTTTTCCGAGCTGCGTCCAGCCGTGGCGACGAAGGGCTTTGATGCGAGAACTGGACTTGGCAACCGGTCGAAACTTGCCAGCACCAACCGCAGCTCCTGAATTGAGCCCAGTCCTAGCAAAGCTGACAGGGGCACCCTGGTCCTTGAGCTTCTCGCTGACGCGGATGCCGAGGCTGCGAGAGGAGGACGGAGGACACAAGGACAACTTTGCGAGAGAGAGAGAGAGAGAGAGAGCAAGACGCCACTTGGCGCCAGCGCGGCCCCGTGTCCACGCGCCGTCCTCCGAGTCCACGCGAAAACCGCGCACGGCCGAGATGTCGCCGCGCGCCCTGGTGCTTCTGCTCGCCGCCGCCCTGGGCGGCCTCGCGGGCAGGGCCTCCGCGGCGCGCGTGGGCGCCGGCGCCGAGGGCGCGCTCGGGCCTCCCAGCGACGGGAGCGCGGGCGTTCGGGCGACGAGATCTATACATGTCCGCTGCTCCCTGGCCATGCCCATCCTGAGCCCAGGAGCGGTGTACGGTAGGTTTGCGACGTGTCGACCAGCGGCGACCCCAGCGCGGGCGTTCAAGGTTGAACGCCGCCGGCGGCCCCCCAGAATCGGTCGATGTTGAACGATCGGACGTTGCGGCAGCGGCCGATCGTTCAAGGTTGAACGATCCCTGCGGTGTCAAAAACCAATGCTGGGGTCGGCACGACACGAACCTGCCGTACGTGCCCTCCCGGCCAAGCCAGGGGTGTGTGGCGTGTGCACCACCGCTGCTGGGTTGAGGATGGGCCTGGCCAGGGAGCAGCGGATATGAGTAGATCTCGTCGCCCTAGGCCTCGCGCGGGCGAACGCCACGCTGCAGGCTGTCGGAGGGGAAACCTCAGGGGCAGCGTAATTGGGGGATAGTCAGAGGAGGAAAAGGTACCCATACCGCCACCTTTCCATCGTTTTCCTCTGTTTTGTGGCCTCCTGGGCGGCCCTCGTCGCCACCGCTGGATTCGCTTAGAAATTCTGGTCAGAACGTACCCCAGGAGAGGTCCAGAGAGTAGCGGTATCGGTACCGATAGGCTCATGGAGGGGGAATATATCGGCCCCCAATCGCCCATGCATCGCCGATAGGGGCCCGATGGCCCCACCCCTCCCAAGACTTTTTGCGGATTCGCTTTTGGGGGCCTATCGCCGATCTGTCGGCGATGTGTCGCCGATTCCGGGTCGATGTTTCCCCCCCTAAGCTGGTTCCGCCCCATAACGCTGCCCCCCAAATCTTCTGCGGACGACCTGTGTGCCCCTGTGCCGCGCTGGCGTCTCCCGAGAGTGGCACGGTGCACTGCGCTTCGGCCCTCGGGAGGAGTCGGGAGCCTAAAGACTTGTGCGCAGCGCCGCGCCGGAGCGGGGCCTCGGAGGGAGTCCAAGCATGCTGCTTTGCACGGACGCCGTCCGCGTAGGGGTATCGGGGCCGCTGGCGCCCGCGCGACGAGAGTTCGGAACGGCTTAATCCACTCGATCTTCGGCCTCTCGGAGGCCCGTGTCGGTCCCACGGGGCCTTCAAACATCGATGCGGGATGAGACGTTGCCCAGGCTGGGCCACAGGAAGGGTCGGAGGGCTGAGTTGGCACGGATTTCGGCCGCCGTCGATGGAAAAGGTCTATCGATACCACCCCCTTCTCTCGTTTTCGCTTCTCTGGGCTTTCTGGGAGGCCGTTGCTGCCACGGCTGGATTCGCCTCGAAATCGAAGTCAGAACGCACCTTGGGAGAGGGCTGGGGAGTGGCGGTGCAGTTCCCTCCCCCGCTAGCAGCGGGCTCAGGCGAGATAACGTCACTCATAGTAGGCCCTAGGTAAACACAAACACCAGGGAACCATCCTGCCAGCAGGTGCCAAACGGGAGTTCTTATTCCTCGCACGTCTCGAGGACCTAGATGAATCTGGGATCACCTTGGGGTGGATCAAGATTGACAGCGAATGTGCCCCTAGGCTTCTTCAGGACATTCCTTATCCTATGTAGCTGCCGTATACTTAGTGTGACTTGTCAGCTTTCGAGTGCAGTATACGTACCGATCACTTGCTGGCGAATCTGCCACGAAATGGCCTTCCGTGCTGCCTGAATGCCTACGTGAAGTACCTGCGGTATACACCCAGAAAGATCTTGGCCAGGTCGAGCCTGGGCCCCAGCTCGGTGCAGGTGTACCGTTTGCGTCCTCCCGTGAGGAGCAGGGTGCGCAAGCCCTGCTGCAGGTTGGCGGGGCGCTCTTGGATCGAACGACCCCAGCCGTCAACGAGCCCTCCAAGTACCAGGGCTACATACAGGAGATCTCGCAGGCCATCGTCAGTCACGACGAGGGTGTCCTCGCTGTCGCAGATTACGACGGGTCGGACAACAAGGTTCGCGACGGGACCATCCTCTTCAACGTCGTTGGAACATGCCCCTCCAACTTATTATGCAGCGACCAGGCTGTGACAGTCGCGGACTTCGGAGGCAACGTGGTGGCCTACTGGAGCAAACCACATCCAGAGATCAAGCAGTGCACTCGGGAACGTCACGTCAAGAAGGGCGACTGCAAGAACGATTCAGACAAATTCCGATCACTGGAGCAGCTCTTCAGAGGGGGAGGTGACTACTACATAGACTCGTCGACGAAGCGGGCAGTGGTCAGAAAGGGCGGGGAGAATCTGTACATCTACCTGTTGTACGCGTCCACCTGGAGCAGCTGGTACTCAGGATGGAAAATCACAGACGCAAATAATCGTCGAAATCTCGGGAAATATGGACACTGTGGAAGGTGGAGGGGGAGGATACAACCAAGGAAATATTTGAAATATGAGGAATCCGGGGATCTGTGTCTGTTCATTTGTATGTTCCTGGGCCCCTTCAGGTATGGCACCATGGATGGGTGGCTGCTCTACCAGAGGGACCCGAACGCCCAGGAGTTCTTCCGCATCCAGTTCCAGTCTGGCAAGGACGCGAAGTTCAACTGGAAGGGCGAGGGCCAGGCTCTCTCCAGCTTCTGGCCCGCGAGTTGGGAGGTGGACCTGCCGTGAAGAGCCGTCCCCGCTCCTGCCGCGGCTCGTCCTCCCGTGGTGCCGTGAGAGGATGGCCTCCCGCGCCCCCGCCGCCCGGGAGGCGCTCCTCGAGTGAGGTCTTTGGCGAGAGACTGCCGCCCGTGGACGGGCCGCCCTGTGCACAGGGAAGGAGCCATCAGCTCACTCGCCCACGGTGCCCAGCAGGGCGCTGTCCAGATGACTGCGTCGCGTTGATCATTCGATGTTCGCCTGGGGGATACGGGGGTGGTGGTGGAGGGAGTAACGGACCCACGGACTCGCCTTCGCCTCGTCTCGCCGTCGGCGGAAGCCAGCCGAAGGCTGGCGGAAGCCGGCGGTGGTAAAGCGGCGGCATGCCCGCCGGCAGATGCCGCTGGAAGGCCGACGGAAGGCGGCGGAAGTAAAAGGTGAGACGTAAACACTTCTGGGTCGAGGGCTTCCGGAATCGACCAAAAAGCTCCCAGCAGGGCAGCTGCTGGTCGAGGGGGAATGCAAGCCGCCGCGCCTCTGGGTGCCCGCATCATCAGAGAGCGGCGGCCAGGTTGCCAGCCGCACGCAGTTGAAGAGCCGATGGGCACCATTGCGAATCTGATCACTTCGAGTTTCTCAGTAAGCACCAGGGTGGCGCAATCCCTGCTGACAGCCCAAAATCGATCCCAAACACTGGCGGACACCGCCCCGCGAGGGTGCGCCGACGACCCTTCGAAATTACACTTCATCATATGTCCAAGAATGAACTGACATGATAATGCTCTTCCATTGAGCCCTTGGCACTCCATATCCTTCCGGCACAGTCGGCCCAGGAATGTCCTCGGCAAAAGGGTTCGGAACAACGAATGCCGCAACATTTCTTGATCTGTGTTCTTGTTGCAGTATGCTTTGGGCTGCGCGTCAGTCATCATTGAGAAGGTCAGGCCTGACAGATGCATGTGCTACGCATACGCCATCAGGTACCACTGACGCGCGCGCACTTCGCGCGCGCGCGCGCTCAAATTGCCCCTTCTTTCTGGATCGTAGCGCATAGAACGGAAGCGGGAGCGCGTCCGAATGAACGGGAAACGTGGCTTGCGAATCCAGTGCGGCGCCCTGGGGATTAGGGTCATGGGTGAACAGCATATACGCGAGCTCACATACGTGCAGGCATATATGATCGCCCGCTGCTGCCCCCTCCAGCCCGTGCAGGCCTACCCGTGGCTGAGCCGAAGTGGGCGCTACGCACCCGCCCGCGTGTGCCTGGACCGGAACCGCATCGACGCGCCCGATGCGCTGCTGTCGAGGCGCGGCCCCCGGCTCCCAGGAGAGGTCCAAGGACGCCCCCCCCACCTCTATTCTTCTCCTCCTCGTCTTCCTCCTCTTGCCTCCCCTTCTCCCAGACTATGCCGTCCTCCAGCTCGCCTCGAATGCAGTTTTGTTCGCAGGATGCGGCTTCCACATCGACTGTGCTGACACGGTAGCCTGCGCCGGCCTTGGACCCTCGCTCTGCCGCAGGGCCCGGCATCGCGCGGGCCCATTGGAGGGCCTAGGTTCACGACACAAGTTTGACGGCGTCTCGGTTCCGAAAATGCCGTCTCCCTGCTCCGAAGCCGATGTCGTCGATGGTGAGTTGTCCAAGTGTCACGCGGGAGTCGAGCCGCTGATCAGAATGCCCGCCTTGGGGTCGAGCTCTTTCGCAGTGATCCCTGTGACCGTCTCGTCGCCCTAAGATGCCACGATAGGGCCGTGCAGGTATCGATACGCGCTGCTCGGCAAGAAGCTGCCATCGTGGATGCGTGTCGGTCTGATCGCGCTGCCCTCGATTGCCTTAGACGCGTCGACCTCGGCTATGTTACAGCCTCCTCCCTGACGTCCCGACGTCGGAGCCAGAGGTCGTCGGTCGTCGATGGATCGTCGTGGGCGGGTACTCGAGGGAGGGCCCTGGCGGGATTGCGGATGCCCGCGACGATGCGCCCGCGCACGGCCATGCGCCGCCCGCGGAGGAGGCATTGGGCCTCCTCGGGCCCTGGGGGGGCCCCCCGCTGGTGTTTCGTCACGCTCCCGCCCGCGGGCGACGCGTGGGGCATCGTGGGCGCATAGCTGATACCGCATAGCTTACACGATATAGCTCAGACCGCATAGCCTGCTCCGCACTGCTTTAACAACATCGCTCACGCCACCCGGATAACACAGCATCGCCTGTACACCATAGCTCGCACGACACAGTTTACACAAAGTGGCGTGCACAACATAGCTTGTACATCGCTTAATTCTCCTATCTAAAAAGAGAATAGACTCTACCCCCCCGGCGTTATCCGCCCCCTCTTCGGGTATGTAAATCATATGTGATTCTGACCACATGTCCATCCTAAATATGAATTTGCACTATCCCAGGGGGCCGGGATCGCTACCCCTGAGGTTCCCTTGTGAACAACAATACGCGGGGACATTGTTTGTTCTAACATAAGACTTTTTCAATAATCCCTTGCAACAAATGGGACGAAGTGCACACGCGCGCGTCGTCGCGCGCGCATGCCGAAATCCTTCAAAAACTTTCGGTGTCGGAAGGATTTCGCAATCGAGTTTCCAAAAACACACACAACACAAAGGGTTTCGCAACACAGATTTGCTAAAAAAGCTTACGCGCGAGCTCTTGCGAAATCTTAAGAAAACCACGGGCTTATCAATATTTTCACAACATGCTGCCAAACTGGCTTCGCGCGCGCATGTCGAAATCTGTCGAACGCCCTTGCGCGTGTGCCGTCGCGATAATCCTGTGTAAAAAATAGGACGAAGTGCAGACGCGCGCGTCGTCGCGCGCGTATGCCGAAATCCTTCAAACCCATCGGTTTCGGAAGGATTTCAAAACCGTGTGTCCAAAAAACCTACAACAATACAAAGTTTCGCAACACGAATTTTCAACAAAAGCGTGCGCGCGCGCTCTTGCGTCGTCGTCGTCGTCGTCGTCGCCGTCCTCCCTCCTCCCGCTTCGTCGTCGTCGTCGTCGCCTATGTCGTCCTCTGTCTTTCCTCGTGTTCGTCGTCGTCGTCCTCTTTGGCGTCGTGGTCGTTTCCGTCGTCGTTGTCGCCGTGGTCATCCTTCCTCCTCCTCCCTCGTCGTCGTCGTCGTCGTCGTCGTCGTCCGTCGTCGGCGTCTCGTCGTCGTCCCTCCTATTTCGTCGCCGTCGTCGTCGTCGTCGTCGTTGTCGTCGTCGTCGTCTTCCCTCCTCCCTCGTCGTTGTCGTCGTCGGCGTCGCCGTCCTTCCTCCTTCTTCGTCGATCGCGTCGTCGCCGTCCTCCCTCCTCCCTCGTCGTTGTCGTCGTTGTCGTCGTTGTCGCCGTCGTCGTCCTCCCTCCTCCCTCGTCGTCGTCGTCGTTGGCGACGTCATCTTGTCATCGCGCACGTCCGAGTATCGTCGATATGCTCACGTTCATCATCGACTCACGGTGACGAGCATCGGCAGTGAGGATGTTATCATCGACGTCGTCATCAGTGGCGCCGCCGTCCACCGCATCGTGAGTTTTGCCAAACAAGTTGCGGGCGGGAGGGTGGGATGTTTGCGCGAGCAGTGGAGGTGGTCACGCGCGGTGCAGGGTAGTCATCGCACACCATAGCTTACACCACGTAGCTCCCACTACATAGCTTACACACTTACACCTTGAACCACACAGCTTACTCCGCATAGCTTCCACCTCCACAGTGCAATAACCCACTATTCGAAGGCCACGCTGGCAGACACCAACATGCGTACACACATACAGGCATACACACATAGCGGGGGACCTGGTCCAGGGGCCCCCGGGCCAGAACCCCGACCGTAAATGTAGGGACTGACCCGCCTGGGGACGGCCCAACCCAAGGGGTCCCCATTGGAGGCCCAGTTTGTTCAATTCATGAGCCTGCGAGGGGCCTGAGAGCCCCAAGGTGGTCCCAAGATGGCTCAAGGGAGCCCCCGAGAGGTCAGAATGCTTCAAATGAAGACCCCAAGGTTGATCTGATGTGGACCTGGGCTTCCCAAGGACGCCCTGGTTCTGATGGGGTCTTCGGAGCCAGATCGCCCAGCAGAGCCCCTGGTGAGGCCCAGCACGGGCCCAGGTGGCCCCGAGAGGACCCCTAAGATGGCACTATGGCGGCCCCAAATCCTCCAAGGGGCGCCCACAACGCTCCGAGAGAGCCCCAGACGGCACCCAAGATGCCCCCCAAGCGGCCCCCCCAGGGCGGCCATCCGATCGCCCCCAGCGCCAGGGTGCCCCCCCGGAGCACCCTGAGGCCCCCAACAGGCCCCCAAGCGGCCCCGAAGGGGCCTCCAGGAGGGGCCTCCGATGACGCCCAAGTGGCTCCAAAGCCCTCCAAGCGGCTCCCCTAAGACACTACAAGACATTTTATGCGCGCCTCATATCGAGGACACCTGCATTCTGGAAGCCTCTCTGGAAGATGTGTCGCCGCTTCAGCTCCACTCCCTACTCCTCCTCCTCTTCTGCCTCCTCCCTCCTCCCTCCCTTCACTCTCGTAGTCCTGGGGAGGCCTCTGGGAACATGTCCCGTCGCTTTCAGCGCGCTCCCTCTTCTTTTTCTTCCTCCTCGCGAGACGGACGAGGAGGAGGAGGAGGAGGAGGAGGAGCAGGAGGAGGAGCAGGAGTAGCAGGAGGAGGAGGAGGAGGAGGATACAGTCTGAGCCTTGGGTGTCCATTCAAACTCTAAGGCCGAGGTGTCTCTGTATATTCCAAGGCCGAGGCGCCCACGCAAATCCTTAGGCCGAGGTGCCCATGAAGTCTGCAAGATATCCCAGGTGTTCATAGACATTCCAAGACCGAGGTGCCCATGCACATCCTGAGGCCAAGGTGCTCCATGACGCCTGCAAGGCAGCCCCGGGGCAGCTCGAAGAAGGAAATGGACGCGACTGGACTCCGAATGCCCGTGTGTGGGGATCGGCTAGAACTTGAGCGGGCGCGAAGCGCGCGACTGTTCTAGTGTGTGTGTGTGTACACATACACATATTCAATACATTTATATATATACATATATATGTACGTGGTAGATAAGGAAGAGGGGGATGAGCTGGGATACAGATGAGGGGGAGGGATTCGGTCGGACCGAGGTATAAGATCGAGGTCGGTTTGGGAAGGGTACCCTAAAGCTCTTCGTGCTTATAAGATGTTCTTGGATGTTCTTGTGCATCCCGGGGAGGGAACCCTCGAATGTTGCGCACTTTGGCCAGCGGAGGAGGGATGTTCTTGTGTCCTATGTCCGACCATATGAGGTAAAGGGACAGAAGGAGGGAGGGAGGGAGGGAGGGAACGATCATGATGATGACGCTGATGGGAATGATGATGATGCTGATGATGATGCTGATGATGATGAGGAGAAGGAGGAGTGGGAGACGAGGTACCGAAGAGGCGGGGTGGCGGGGGAAGCATGAAACAGATGATGGTGCTGATGAGGATGCTGATGATGATGATGATGATGATGACGATGCTGATGATTGTTATAACCATGGTGCTGATAAGGATGGTGATGATGATGATGATGCCGCTGATGCTACTGACGATGATGTTTATGATGTCGATGGTGGTGATGCTGATGATGCTGTTGCTGATTCTGATGATGGATGATGATGCAGGGTGGTGATGATGAGGCTGATGATGCTGCTGATGATGCTTATGACGATTGTGACGACGATTAATGTAATTCTAATGCTTATGATGATGATAATGACAACTACAATGACCACGACGATGATGACGTTGCTGATGATGACGACGACGATGCTGATGTTGTTGATGATGATGATGGTGCTGTTCGTTGATGATGCTGATGGTTCTGATGATGACGACGACGATAATGCTGATGACGATTCTGATGATGATGATCAGGACGATGAGTATGATTGTGGTGATGATGATGACGACGATGCTGATCATGCTGTCAATGATAACGATTCTGATGATGGTGATGCTGATGATGAGTGTGAGGATGAGGGTGATGATGGTGACGATGATGGTAGTGATGATTATGACGACGATGATAATGGTTGTGGTGGTTGTGATAGTGAGGATCATGATGACGGCGATGCTGATGACGATCATGATGATGCATGGTGATTAATGATGATGATGACGATGTTGATGCTGAGAATGACGATGCTAATGATGATGTTGATGATGGCGATGATGCTGACGATGATGCTGAAGATGATGATTATGATGATGCTGATGATAGTAAGAATGCCGTTGCGGCTGATGATGATGAGGATGATGATGATGATGCTTATGGTGATGTTAATGACGATGATGATGGTTGTGTGTGTGATGCTGAGAATTCTGATGACGATGATGCTGATGACGATGATGATGATGGATGGTGATTGATCATGGTGCGGCTGCTGCTGATGATGCTGATGATGGTAATGATGATGCTGATGGCAGTGATGCTGATGATGATTATGTTGCTTATGCTGAGGATGGCGATGATGACGATGTTGATGATGATGATGATGATGATGATGATGATGATGATGATGATGATGATGATGATGATACTGATGATGATGATGATGATGATGATGATGATGATGATGATGATGATGATGATGATACTGTTGGTGCTGCTGATGATGATGACGACGACGATGATGATAACGACGATGTTGCGCACTTTGGCCAGCGGAGGAGGGATGTTCTTGTGTCCTATGTCCGACCATATGGGGCAAAGGGACAGAAGGAGGGAGGGAGGGAGGGAGGGAGGGAGGGAATGATCATGATGATGCTGATGGTAATGATGATGACGATGCTGATGATGATGCTGATGATGATGAGGAGAAGGAGGATATGGAGACGAGGTGCCGAAGAGGTGGGGTGGCGGAGGGAAGCATGAAACAGATGATGGTGCCGATGATGATTCTGATGATGATGAGGCTGACGATGCTGATGATTGTTTTAACCATGGTGCTGATAAGGATGGTGGTCGTGATGATGCTGATGCCGCTGATGCTACTGACGATGATGTTTATGCTGTCGATGATGGTGATGCCAATGATGCTGTTGCTGATTCTGATGATGGGTGATGATGCAGGGTGGTGGTGATGAGGCTGATGATGCTGCTGATGATGCTTATGACGATTGTGACGATGATGAATGTGATTTTAATGCTTATGATGATGATAACGACAACTACCATGACCACCACGATGATGTTGCTGGCGATGCTGACGACGATGCTGATGTTGTTGATGATGATGATGATGATGGTGTTGTTCGTTGTTGATTATGATGGTTCTGATGATGACGACGAAGATAATGCTGATGACGATTCTGATGATGATGATGATCAGGGCGATGAGTATGATGGTGGTGGACAGGATGACGACGATACTGATCATGCTGTCAATGATGACGATTCTGATGATGGTGATGCTGATGATGAGTGTGAGGATGAGGGTGATGATGGTGACGATGATGGTAGTGACGATTATGACGACGATGATAATGGTTGTGGTGGTTGTGATAGTGAGGAGAATGCTGACGACGGTGCTACTGATGACGATCATGGTGATGGATGATGATTGGTGGTGGTAATGATGACGATGCTGATGCTGCTGATGCTGATAATCACGATGCTAATGATGATGTTGATGATGGTGACGATACTGACGATGATGCTGCAGATGATGATTATGATGATGACCATAATGGGAATGCTGCTGCTGATGATGAAGAGGATGCTGATGATGATACTTATGGTGATGCTAATGACGATGATGATGGTTGTGTGGATGATGCTGAGGATTATGATGACGATGATGCTGATGACGATGATGATGGATGGTGATTGATCACGATGCTGCTGCTGATGATGATGCTGATGATGATAATGATGATGCTGATGACAGTGATGCTGATGATGATTATGCTGATTATGATGATGATGACGGTGATGACGATGTTGATGATGATGATGATGATGATACTGATGATGCTGCTGATGATGAATACGACGATGATGCTAACGGTAATGATGATACTGATGTTGATGACGCTGATTCTGATTATGTTGATGATGACAATGACAATGATGATGATCATCATGCTGATGATGATGCTGATGATCATACGACGATAGTGGTGACTATGATGATGATGGTGATGAGCTGATTATGATGCTGATGCTGCTTATGATGATGATGAGCATGATGATGACGATGATGATGCTGATGCTGATGATGCTGATGCTGATCTTGATGATGATGCTGATTCTGCTGATGATGCTGCTGATGATGACGGTGATGATGGTAATGCTGCTGCTGATGATGTTGATTATGATGATGATGGTGATGAGGGTGATGTTGATGATAACGATGATGATGCTATTGATGATAATGATGATGATGATGATGATGATGATGATGATGATGATGATGATGATGATGATGCTGATGCTGATGCTGATGCTGCTGATGCTGCTGATGATGATGATGATGATGATGATGATGATGTTGCTGCTGCTGATGATGCTGATGATGATCATGATGGTGATGTTGATGCTGATGCTGATGCTGATGATCATGATGCTGATGATGTTGATAACGATGATGGTGGTGATGATCATGATGACGAGGAGGAGGAGGAGGAGCAGGAGGAGGAAGAAGACGAGGAGGACGAGAAGGGACACGGATGAAGAGGAGGGGTGTGTTGCATAGACAGGAGGAGGAGCAGGAGGAGGTTCCAGGAGGAGGATGATGATGAGGAGGAGGAGGAGGAGGAGGAGGCGGAGGCGGAGGAGGAGGTGTAGGCGGAGGCGGAGGCCGAGGCGGAGGAGGAGGAGGAGGAGGAGGAGGAGGAGGAGGAGGAGGAGGAGGAGGAGGAGTTGGAGGAGCCTTCCTTCTTCTCCATAGGCGCCGCCTTAGCCCTCCTGGGCGCTCTGCCTTTTTTTGTGTGTACTTTTCTGCTCCTAGAGTGAGTGGACTTGAGACTCAGCCGTGCATCCGTGAGGAGGATGCAGGAGGAAATGGGGGAGGAGAAGGAGGAAGCATTGCCCTTGCTTTGACAGCGGGCGGCTCCGTCCACCCGGCCCTTTCATCGGAGACGGCGGCGTCGACGTCCACGGCGTAGCGACGGCGGCGACGGCAGCAGCGGCGCCGCGTCGACGTGTGTTCGTGCGACGGCGACGCCGGCGGCGGCGACGATGACGTCGACGGCAGCGGCGACGGCGGCGGCGACCAGCGACGGCTGCGACGTCTGTGCCCCCGGCAGGCTGCGCCGCCGCGCCGCCCTGCGCCCGTGCGACGGCGAGACACCCGGGCCGCCCCAGGCGCCTGGGGCGCCGCGGAGACGGATGGGGGCGCCGATTGCCGACTCGGCTGGCTGATGGGGCCCAGGGATCAACCAGACGTAAAGAGTGACCTTTTGCCAGAGTGACCTCTCTGGTGCGGGCTCACAGGAGTCCCCCCCAGCATTTTGACTGGTACGCTTGGATTTGGCCCCCTCGTGGCACCTGAAAGCCGCGCACCAAAGGTCACTGTTGCTCAGGGCCAATCTTACGTGTAGCCAAAGGGACACACAAAGAAGTACACACAAGGCCCAGGATATCCCATGTTTATCATATTTTCTGGATGTTCGCCTTCTCCTCCACTTCCCATACAACCCGCTGGATTAAAAAGTGGAGACCGTTGGGATCGAGAAAGACACGATTGGCCTCCCGTTATGCCTCCGGGCCCAGGGACAATGTTGGAGTTGGGGCCGATTTGGGAATTTCAGATGTATCTCTCACCCCTTTTTGTATGACAACGGCCAAATGGGGTCAGCGTCTGAAAATGCGATTCCGCCTGGGACTTCTTCAACCAGAACTTTCAGATCGCGTTCCAGGGCGATCTGAAAATTCGACATGGCATCTGAAAGTGGCGATTCCGCGTGGGACTTCCAAAGAAAAATGTTCAGATCCATCTTCATGCCGCTTGAGAGTGGCGATATCGCCTGAGAATTCCTCGCGTTTTTTTTTTTGCCGGCCGCTTTTCACGCCGCCAAAGAGTGGCGACTTCGTTTGGGCTGTCCTAACAGCCGCGCGTCTCGTCCATCCCTGCGTCGCCGTTCCTCCGTTCGTGTCACGAGTCTGTCTGGGAGTCATCTTGGGATCGATCGAAAATCGAAGCTTGAGGTTTTATCGATTGGCGAACACCCAGGGGTTGTTCACTGGCATAGTGCCGATCACCACTTTTTAATCCAGGGGGTGGTAGTTTCTTTTTTCCCGGGGAATCGACGATGCTTTGTGTCGGTGTGCTTTGTCCCTCCAGACTGGCGGGGGCCCCAAGACGGCCCAAGGACGGCCGCAGAAGACGGCTTCCAAGATGGCCCTACAGGCGACTTCCAGACGCCCCCAGAGCGCGCCAAGGCGGCGGTGCGGAGAGAGGGAAAGCCTGAGCGACACCGCGCGCCCAGCGTCTCCAACAACAGGCAGCTGTGTACACATAAACCTTCGGATGTCTTCGCGATTCTCTGCGCGCCAGGGGAGGAGGGTCCTTCGCCGACCCACACATCCGTACGGACCCCCGTGCGTTTACGTCCGTGCGTGTATTTCACGGCTGGAGCTCCCGGCACCACTTTTGGGTAGATGTCTTTGAGCTTGGTCGATCCGCCAGGGCCCCTGGGCCCGCGCGTCAGGAGAGGGGTGTCAGCGCCGACCAGGAGTCCCACGTGGGCCTCCGACGATATAATTCTGATTCTGCAGCTGTTTGTTCCTCTTACACGTCAGCTGGTGGGCGTGGACCCCCCACCCCTGGCGAGCGGAAGGCGCTAGGGAGCGCCGCCGGAGGCGCGGCCAGGGGTGTCCAGCGCCGACCCAAGATACCGGCCTGGACCTCAGACGGATTGGGTTCAAGCATGCGCTTGTTGTTTCTCAGCCGCGCGGCTCCGCCCTCCACCACGCCACGCGCTGCTTGGACGTGCTCCTCGGCGCGCACGCGGCGGCCATCCTGGCCTGAGTGTGCTTCGCTCCCGCGTCCCCTCCGGCCCTCCTTCCCCGCGCCCCCTAGGTGTCTCGCTGTGCTCCAGCGCGTCCCACCGCCGCTTCACCGCCGTCTGGATCTCTCACGGCCGCTGACCAAAAAAGTGCCCCTGCGTCAGCTGGTTGGCCCGACGGGCGAGTTCTGCGCATGCCGCTTCTCCCCTGAGCGGAGCTTCCCAGACACCCTGCGGAAGCTCGGTCTTGTGACGAGACAACGGCCCCCCCCGCGGACAAGCCAACCGGTCGGCGAGCAACAGCAAAGCGCCAGGCATTAAGCAACTTCAAATGTACCGTGAGAAAGGGAGGGAGAGAGAGAAAGGTAGGGAGAGAGAAAACAGAGGAGGACAGGGTGGGAGTACACAGAAGGCCACAGCGTCGCACTCTGCCAGATTTCCCTGCAGCCCATGTTGGCATCGAGGCTGAACGAACATCTGCCTCGAAATGGGATGGCCTTTGACCTTGCACAGGGCACATCATCATCACCATCATCAGCAGCATCATCATCACCACCATCATCATCACCACCACCATCATCACCACCATTATCACCATCATCATCATCATCATCATCATCATCATCATCATCATCATCATCATCATCATCATCATCATCATCGTCATCATCATCGTCACCACAACCATCATCATCGTCATCATCATCTGCATCGTCATCATCATCATCATCGTCATCATCATCATCATCATGAACATTCCTCCAGCTAAACTCCTCCGCCCTCCACTTCCTCATTCCAGGCCTGATGAACTGAGGCTTGGCGTACACTGCAAGGCCCGATCGCGCTGAGCATTCGATCATGCTCGCGCTCTGCCTCGCACACAAGAGTAATTCGACTCTCAACATCAGCTTTGACCCGACAGTGAACATCATCATAATCAGTTATCAAGTTACCCATCACTAGCTACGCTTTGGAGGGTTAGGTTGGAGTGCGCAGCGCGCTCTGAGGGTAAAGTGGAACAACATGTTGTATTTCTCACCCGCATCCACTTTCTCTCCACCGTTTGCTGGAATATACATCAAAGCCAACCGCAAAATGGAAAGGCGAGCGACGAAGAAGGATGGGAGAGGCTAATATGTAGTGGCCTTCGGCCCATCCCGCCACCGTGCGTGGGTTGTCGGTCAGAGGCCTCGTGGCTCCCTGTGAGGATTTCTTGGGGGGCCTCTCGGATGCCTCTTGGAGGCGGTATTGGAGGTATCTTGGGGCGTCTTGGGGGCTTTTTGGGGCCTGGTTTGGGCCTCTCGGAGCCTCTTGGGCGCAGCTCGGAGGCTTGTGGGTGGATCTTGGGGTCATTTCCGGGCGGAGGGATCCACATGTTAGTTCGTGTTTCCCATCCCTGGCCCGTCTTGGGGCCGTCCTGGGGGTCTCTTGGGCCCCTCGTGGGGGCTCTTGGGCCGTTTGGGGACGAGCTTGGGCGCCTCTTAGGCTGGACGCTCTGAAGACCGAACAAGCGGTAATGGGAAAGTCATACAGCAACCAAGTGATTTTAACGATTTTGACCTCTTGGGCCGCCCTCCAGGGCCTCGAAGACTGCCCAAGATGCGCCCAAGAGCGCGACGGTGCCCGGGGCCATTTGAAACCATGTTGGACATACACGTCCCGAACAACGCACTCTTGGCTTCTCGACAGTCGCGCGGGGATTCCCCAGGAGCGCGCGAGAGCGTCCGAGAGCGTCCCCAAGTGCTTGGGAGCGCCCAGAACTACGGGCTGTGGGCCCCTGGATTTACAGAATTCAATGCAGAGAACTCGCAGTGACCTGAGGATACTCCGACTCGTGCCTCAGGGCACGGTGGCGTGTATACATTCCCTTGCAGTGCTTGCACCTCTGGATTCTTACTTCTGCTCTAAGGCCTTCTGAGAAGTTCTCTGTGACTTCGGGGAAGGCCTACAAAACTTCTCAGAAGGCCGGGGAACTTCCGAGCCTTCTGAGAAGCTCTGCCTCCTCTCCCTTGCTCCCCGGGCTGGCCGCCGTGGCTTGCCAGGTGAAGTTCTCTTCGGCGCCGCACGTGCACCTGCCGGCGTTCGGCGAGCAGGCCGCGGCGGCCCGGACTGGCCAGGGGGAGCTTGCGCCCGACCTGATCTTGAAGGCTGACGCCGGCAGACCGCCTGCGATTCCGAGCAAGAGGAGAAGGATGCCATTCAGTACAACATGCACCCCAAATTTCTAAAAACGAGCGGACAACAACATCGACCACAACGCACGCACAAGAGGGACGGAGGGATAGCACGATCCACTCCAGCGCTTGGGGCCTCCACAGCCGCCCAGAGACCAGATCAGACCTACGGCGCTGATCAGAAGAACAAAAAAAAAAAGGTACAACATGCACTGAAGACGCAATTGAGTGAACACATCTGCATCTGATGCAAGACTTCGCTGCGTTTGGGAAGGCGTATGGTGCCGTTCCTTTGGTGTCGGGCAGGCTTATGGTGCCTGAGCCCTTGACATGGGGAAATGCGTATGGTGCCCATCCTTGCCCACCCCGGCCCGTCCCGCACACAGGGATTCTGCACCCCCCGATGGAGCCGCCGCCGCAAGGAGGAAGAGAAAGCAATATTAAGGGGAGGAGGAGTTGGAGGAGGAGGAGGAGGAGGAGGAGGAGGAGGAGGGATCATGATAATGGTGATGATGATGATGATGGTGGTGGTGTTGATGATAATGGTTGTTGACGAAGGGGAGCGGAAGAGATAAGAGAAGGCATGGCCGCCTCCCTCCTCCCTCTGCATCGCGGACCAAGGGCCTCTGTCGACCGGCAGGAGGACTCCAGAGGCCCTCCTTGGCCCAGGGACATTCTGTCGATTCACCCCTCGTCCTCCTTCTCCTCCTGCCCCCCTCCTGCTCCTTCTCGGGTCCCTCCTCCTCATGCTGCTGCTGCTGCTCCTACTCCTTTTCCTCCGTCTCCTCCTCCTCTTCCTCCTCCTCCTCCTCCTGCTCCTCCTCCTCCATCTCCCCCTCCGTAGCCATTTTGGCTCAAGGTCCCATGTTCCTCAGTGGAACAAGCGGATACCGCTAGTCCGCGGCGGGCAAGACCCTTGGGGTCTGGCAGTGTTTGTCACCGATCCGCGCTTGTGCTGGCGGGTAAACGGAGGCTTTTCCCGTTCCTGCCTGCCTGATCGCCCAGAGTTCCCTCCCATGGGCAGCGGCCGCCGCAAGGACAAGAATGTTCGCAGGAAGGTGCTGCGTTCGGATGGCTCGGACATGTCTTTCTCATCTTCGGCATCTCCCTCGACTGGTGCTTCTCGCCGTGTTCGTCGCGATGACCATCGGCCCCCGCCTAGCCCAGGCGCCGCCAGCCCCCCGCGTTCGCGGAGCGCTGGTCGCAGCACAGCCCGTGGCGAGGCCCTCAGCGGACCGATGTCTCGGGAAGACGCCCACATGCTGGACCTGTGCCCCACTTTCCCGAACAACGAGCAGGCCGCCGCCGAGTCGGCCAAGGCGCATCGCCCTGGCGCCCTTCCTGAACCTGATGCTGGTCTGCGGGCCCCTGGGACGCCTATCGTGGGTCTCCCCACGCCGCCTCTCGAGCCTGGCTGCACTGCGTGCTGGCCACCTGGCGCTGACCCTTGGGCTGATCACCTCCGCCGCTCCCCTGGTCGCTCTGGTGCCCCTCCTCCACATGCTCCTGGTGACGCCTCAGTTGCTGGAGTGGCCTCTGGCAAGGCGGTCGCACTGGCGGACGCTATCCCTGGCATGTCCGAGATGCTCGAGCGCTTCAAGTCTGACATCATCGCGGAGATGTCTCGCGCCTCCACCGAATCCATCGCCAATATGGTCCGCTCAGAGCTTCCGCGAACCATTTCAAATGTGGTGCAGCCCCTCGTCGCCCAGCTGGACTCAGCGATGCAAGCGAGGTTCAGAGCCCAGGAGCTCCGCATGGTCGAGGTGGAAAAGCGTCTGGGCGCTGCCGAGTCCGCGCGCTCCTCCCTCACGGAGCACTTCACCAAGCTGGAGCAGGTGCTGGACCTCGCCCGCGCCGCCCCTCGCGAGCCCATTGCTCGGACCGCAGAGTGGCAGCGCGCCACGGACCCTGGCATCTTCGTCATCACGGCGAAGGAGGATGTTGGCAAGAATCTGGTCGTGGATTCGCTGGCAGGCTGGGTGCAGGATGCCAACTACGAAGTGGGCAAAGACTGTGAGCTGGAGGGCGACGAGCTGGGCCGCAGGTTCATCATTCGCTTCAAGGGTCTCGCGACCACGTGTGCTGCGCGGGTTCGCCAGGCTCATGCACTCCTTCGGGACGCCCACGGCGTCTGGCGGCAATTCTCCGCCCCGATGCCTGGTGGGCGGCGCGTCCCGATCTATGTCAGCATCGATCGCAACAGATTCGAGATCTCCAGGGAGCGCTGCACCAAGAGGCTGCGCGGCAAGCTCCAGGACTTCACTGGGAAAAGGGTCTTCATGGACAAGGACGCGGGCACGCTGTCCATCGACTGGGAGGTCCTCGCCCGCGTCGTCGTCGACCCGTCCGCGCCCACAAAGGTGCAATGGAATATGGGCGCCTTATCTGATCTTCGTTTGGCTCGGGCTGATATGGACAGGCTTGCTAACGAGCTCTTCCTGCCCAAGAACATTGAGTGGAGTGGGTAACACGTTCTGCACTTCCGACCAGCTGGTCTTCAACAGCTGGAACTGCCGTACTTCATCACCAGTCCTCCGTCATGGCCCGCAAGGCCGACATCGTGCACTCCCTCCTCTCGCCCTCCTCCATCACGGCCCTACAAGAAGTTCATGGTCCCCCCGCGGCTGTCGAGGAACTCCTCTCACGTCTTCGCGGTGGAGTCGCGGTCTTTGGCTCTGCTGGACGTGGTGGCGTTTGCACCCTCATCCCCTCCTCCCTCATGACGGACATCCAGGTCACGCCCCTCGAGATCGTGGTGGGGAGGGTGCTTTGCCTGAAGCTCGTCCACAAGCGCTCTGGCTTCTGTTGGCACAACTGGAACGTTCACAACCACGATCTTGAAGCGAAGGACTTCGCCGCCATCTGGCAAGCGCTTTCGCCCCAGCTGGAGAAGGTTCGACACGACCCCCTGAAGTTCAGTATCCTCATGATCGGCGACTTCAACCTTGCCGACGAGGAGGTCGACTACTCCACCGCGGAGCTGGTCTACGTCCGCGGTCGCCTGCGTCGCCCCGCCCCTGGCCCCGCTGGCTCCGCCGCGGCGCGTGCCTCCGCTGGTCGCCAGTCCCGCGCCGGGCGCTCGAGATGGGCGAGGATCTTTAGGCATCTCACGGAGCTCGTTGCACCTGGCCTCAGCCACTTCCACGTGGGCACGCGCGCGGGCCCCCGCATTGACAGGTGCTTCACGGCGACGCCTCCTTGGCTTCTTTGCCAGCTCTGGCAATGCGCTCGGCGCCGTGGTGAACCTCAAGAGTTCCGCGACGCGCTCCTCTCCGACCACGTCCCGCTGGAGGTCTCATGGCAATCGCGGCGATGGGAGTCCAATGGCGAGCCCCGCTCTCGGAAGTTCCCTCGCAGCATCTTCAGCGATCCCCTCTACATGCCGATCCTCGTGGAGTACGAGAAGATTGCTGGCATCGGCGAGTTCGACACGTTCGCGTGCTCCTCTGCGGCGAACCTCCACCTCTCGGCGCCGACGGAGCTGGAGTTGGCGACCCGCTGCCGGCAGGCTGCTGCGCGGGCTGTCCGCGATCTGCAGCTGCGTGACCGCCCAAGGATTCGTGAGAGCCGCTCCATGCTCCTGCGCTCTCTTGCTCGGGCTGTTTGGCGTCAGGATTCTCGCTTGGGTAACATCCTCTGGCAGAGGCATCCGTGGCTCCGTTCCTTCTTCTCCGTGGACCCGTCGTCCTCGTCTGTCGTCCTCGCCTCCCCCGATGCCTTTGCCCGTGCGCATTCCGATTTGCAGCTCCAGGAGGCCCGAGCCGAAACCGAACGGCTCCAACGGGCTGAACGGGCCTCTAGGGCGCAAGGACGCCAAGCTCGTCTCCGTTCCCAAGCGAGAGCCTTAAGACGTCGTGCCCAGATCTGGTCCCCATTCAATCGGAGGGGGTACTTGGCGTGAGTGGTGGAGGGTGGTTTGGACGGGGCTGCCTCGACTGTTCATGCCTCTGCCGAGGGCCAGACTGCGGCCCTCAGGGCCTACTGGAGCCCGATCTTTGAACAGCGGCAGGAAGTCCCGCGCTGGGGTCAGCGCTATCTCTCGAAGTTTGCCTCCGAGCAGGACTTTTCCCAACTCTGTCCTCCCTCGCTCGCCTCGATCCGACGTTTCATTCGACGTGTTTCGCGCGCGGAACCTGGCCCTGATGGGCTTGCGTATGCCGCCTGGGGATTCGGACAAGGCCCCCTGGTCCTTTTAAACGCGTTCCACTGGCTGGCGAGCGGCCAACGTACGCATCTCGACTTTTATGCATGTCTGCAGGTCTTCATTCCGAAGGGGGTCCTCGATGGCGATGACGAGCGCTCTGGAGGGGTTGTTCGCCACGGGAAGGACACCCGCCCCATCGGTTTGGAAAACACGAGCAACAAGATCGTTGCTGGGGTCGCCAACTCGGGTCTGTCGGATGTGGTGAAACAGATTGGCGCCCCCGTGCAGCGAGGCTTCATTCGAGGCCGCAACTTCGTTTCAAACGTATACGAGCTCGATGCTCACGCCAGACTCATCAGTGCACGAGGGCTACCAGAAGGGGCCATTTTGGCCTTCGACTTTGCCCAGGCCCTTCCATCGGTCAGCCAGCCCTGGCTGATGTGTGCGCTGCGACAGGTCAAACTTCCTCGCGGGTGCTCGCTCGCGATTCAAGGCTTCTATCATCTCAACCCTGTCTCTTCTCTGTCCGCGGTCTCCTTCTTCCTCTCTTCTTCATGATCTCTGGCGTGCTTCGAGGCTGTCCTCTCAGCGGCAGCCCTTTTGTCATTGCGATTGATAGCTTTCTTTGGGACATGTTTCGTAGTGTGCAGAGACCAGGTCATCGCCAGATTCGGGCCTGTGCAGATGACATCGGCGCCGTTCTTTCATCTCGGAAAGGCTATCGCGAGACTGCCCGTATCTTTCGTACTGCCGAACATCTTGCGGGGCTCGCTCTCAAAGCCGAGAAATGCCGTGTCGTCCCGCTTAGTGCTGCCCTCTCCGACAGTCTCACCAGCGACTTTCGACAGCTCCTCCGTGAATGCACCTGTGCCCGTCCTGAAGCCACCGCCCCACCGAGTTCGGCCTGCTGGGGGGAATTCGAAATTGCTTCCGAGGTTCTGTACTTGGGGTTTTGGCTTCGTCCTTGGGTCGACTCTCTGCGCAACCTTCGTGCTCCTCTCAACAAGATGGCCACCAGGACTAGGGCGATCGCGGATGTGAGGCAGGATCTCTCGACGGGGGTTTCTCTTTACAGCCAGCGGGCGCTCAGTGTCCCATCATATGTTCTGCAGTTGGTCCCGATCCCTTGGGAGGTCGCCAAAATCGAGCGGCAGTTTCTGGCCCAAGTCTTCAAGTGGCCGATGTCGGCACTCCGTTACTCCGATTGGTTTAACCTCGGCACTTGGGGCGGCCCACGAGTGCGGTCGCTCTACATCACTGCTGCCGCCGCTGCCATGCGTACCGCTCTTGTCACGCTCCCGCACTGGCCCTCTACTCTCCGCATGCTTCGGGAAGGTCTTGTCGAGCATTGCCCCGTGGCGCTCTGGCAGTCGCCCCTCCTCGCCCCTGCCTTCTGGCGTTCCCCGCTTCTTGTCCCCTACCTCGAAGCCGCTGCGAAGGGATTTCCTTGGGATCGCGGGCTGTGTGTGGGCGGCGGGAGGGCGGTTCGGCGGTTCCTTGAAGGCTCTACGATCCCCAGGCCCAAGTGGCAACGGATTTTCGCTGCGGAGCTGCAGGCAGAAGTGTTCTCCCTCTCTCTCGAGGGCTTTCTGGAACGACGAGTGCGTGCGTGGTTCGCTCCGGCTCTTGGCGGGGGGGAGGTGGACAGGGAATTCCTTCGAGAGCGCCTGCGGGATGTGCCCCCGTCGTGGCCTCCAATCATGTTGCGCACCTGGCTCGGCGCCTGGATCGCAGGATGCCGAATGCAGCGCCTGCAGCAATGCATTTTCGGTTGCGATGTCCTTGGGACAGCGACCCGCTACCTGCGCCACTGCCGCCGTCTCCACCTTCACGCCGCCATCGTTCTCCGCCCCGATCTTCCTTCGTGTATCCTGGCTCGTCTCGGTCTCAGAGGTGATTTCGTCTTTGTCATTGCTATGTATCATCTATTTCGTCTTGCTGCGGCCCGCGCAGGGAGGACAGGTCATCCCCTGTCCCTCGAGGAGGCCGCGGCGCTGCAGGCCCCAGCCCGCATCGCGCTCCGACTTCCGTTGCGTCACCGCCAGTCACTTTTCCTCGATGCTGGCATGTTGAGGCGGAGAGTCGTCGAGCTGCGAGGCGGGGCGTAAGCTGACAGACATGGAGGGGAACGCTGTGCCTCCATCTCCCCCTCCCCCTCCTCCTCCTCCTCCTCCTCCTCCTCGTCCTCCTCTTCCTCCTCCTTCGTCTCCACCTCCTCCGTCTTCTCCTCCTCCTCCTCCTTCTCCTCCTGCTTCTCCTCCTCCTCCTCCTCCTCCTCCTCCTCCTCCGCCCCCACCTCCTCCGTCTCCTCCTCCTCCTCCTCCTCCTTGTCCTCCCTCCCCCTCCTCCTCCTCCTCCTCCTCCTTTTTCTTCTTCTCCTCCTCCTCCTCGAGCTGCCGCGACCCCAGCACCCGTCCACCTTTTGGACGGGTGTCCACTGGCGTCAGGCGTGTGAGGATAGTCCATGCGCGCCAGGCCGAGAAGATTAACCACAATGCTCTCAAAACCCTCACTCCGCGGGCGTGTGTCCATCAGGTTTTTTTCCTCGGCGCCAGCCCGCCGGGGCGCCGGCGACAGGGCACGCCCCGAAAAAAAAACTGCCTGGGGGGGGCAGGAGGGAGGGGGCAGGAGGAAATTGGAAGACGGAGGAGACGGACGCGCGGCGGGGAGGTGTGAGCCACCAGACCCCCCTCTTAGGCGCTCGCGCGCCCGCCGGAGGCGAGGGGCGGGGGAGAAGAGGGGAAGGGGGGGGGAGGGGGGGAGAAAAAAAGGCGCGGTGGCACTGCAGTCAGGCGGGGCCCCGGCGAAGGGAGAGCGGAGAGGAGGGAGGAAGACGAGCGGGCGCAGGAGCGGGGAAGGGAAAAAGAGGTAAAGTAGAGTAGAAGCAACGGAGTCTCAGCGCTCAGCGAAGGCCGGCGGCTCTCCGGCGCTGCAGGGCCAGCTGCGTCTGGACGACGCAGCTGACCACCTTGTAGGCGCGGATGAGTTCCGCGGCCTGCTGGTCCGCCGGCAGCGTCTTCGCCTGGCGCACCAGCCACTGGCGGGCCTCGCCCCCCAGGCGGCCCGGCGCCTCCACCGCGAAGGGCGTGAGGCGGTCGCTTGGGTAGCGCGCGTGCTTCTCGCGCTCGGCTGCGCGAGCGGCCTCGCCTGGCCTGCGGGCGGCCCTGGCCACGACGTGCTCTGCCGCCGTGTGACGCACGAACACGTCAAGCCAATGCCGCCCCGCGCCATCAAAGTATTCTATGTCCAGGATGGCGCGCTCCTGAAGGTCGGCGTCTAGCGGGTCGGTTTGCCGCCGCTCCCGCTGGCGGTCCCACGTGGGAGCTCTTTGCTCCTGCAAGGGGTCGTGGTGGAACCACCGCTTGATGAGGCCGGCCACGGAATCCTCGAGCCTCCCGTGGCGCACCACCACTCCGCCCCCGTGGGCACAGATGGCGGCGTGCGTGCCCCGGCCGTCCAGTGGAACCGAGCAGGGGGCCGCCGCCGCGCCGGCCCCGCGGCTCCTGTTCTGGCACGCGTCGGCGGCCACGGCCAGTTCTGCCCGCGAGCATTCGGGCCTTCGCACCAGCGCCCGCGCTCGGAGCGCCGACGACCAGAGCTCGTCCTCCATGGTGCACGCCGGGTCGCTCGGGTACAGCAGGAAGGCAGCCGCGCCTGGGCCTCCAGCGCCCAGCAGCAGAGCTCTCTCGTGAACCGGCAAGCTCTGCCCCAAGGCCGCGCGGGTGTTCTTTTGCACAAGTTTCACGAGTTTGCTCTGCTTAGCCTGACTCTGGAGAGCCTCGAGGAGAGAAGCCCCGGGGGCTGGTTCAGCTCCGCGCCGCCGCAGCTCAGCCCGCACCCTGGCAAGCGTCTGCTCCAGGTCAGGCACTGCCTCGAGCAGCTCGCTCGCGGTCGCCCCTGCGTCGCTGGCGACCCGTTCCAGGGCGAAAACCCTTCCGGCCCAGAAGGCGGCTGCCCGGCGGTCGGATGCCCACTGCACTCCGGCCCCGCCCTCCTTACGCGAGATGCCGATGACCTCCCGGTTCAGCGGGTCGAGGTTCCTGCCTGCCAAGTCTTCCCAGCAGCTGGCCAGCGCGTCGTCGTAGCGTTGCGTCTCTGGGTCGGTCGCCAGGGTTGCCCGTAAGGCGTGCTGGCTAGCGGCCCCGGCGTAGGTGCCGAGCAAGCTACCAGCTGCCTGCCTCCGCAGGCCGTGCCTCGTGAGCGGCCGGAGAGCCTGCCAGAGGGCGCCGAGCCGGTCTGTGACTGCGCCGAGGCCGCCTTCCTGCTGGCCGAGGAGGAAGGGGGCGTCCCCCTGGTCCCCGCGCGCCCTCAAGTGCGAGCCCAGGACTGGCAGCGCTGCCACGTAGTGAGGGCGCAGCCCGTCTGGGAGCCCCCCCGCGCCGGCCGGGACCCACACCAAGGTCTTGGTTGGGTTGAGCTCCAGGCCGTAGAGAGCCAGCGCTTGTTCCAGGAGGAGGAGCGCCTGTGCGGCCAGCGCCACTGGGACCACGAGGTAAGTATCGTCCAGGTAGGAGTACATCCTCGTTTCTGGGTCGAGGGGGCTGAGGTGCTCCAGGAAGGGTTGCAGGGCCTTGCGTTGGCCGACGGCGTAGGCGGCCGTTGGCCTCCTCCTCCTCCTCCTCCTCCTCCTCCGTCTCCTCCTCCTCTTCCTCCTCCTCCTCCTCCTCCTGCTCCTCCTTCTCCTCCTCCTCCTTCTCCTCCTCCTCCTCCTCCTCCTCCTCTTCGTCTTCCTCCTTTTTCTCCGCCTCGTTCTCCTCCTCCTCCTCCTCCATCTCCCCCTCCCTCCTCCTCTCCTCCTCCCTCCTCCTTCGTCTTTCTTCTCGCCTCTTCTCCTCCTCCTCCTCCTCTCCCCCCCCCCTCCCTCCTCCTCCTCTCTTCGTCTTCCTCCTTCTTCTCCGCTCTCGCCTCTCCTCCTCCTCCTCCATCTCCCCCTCCCCCTCCTCTCCTCCCTCCTCTCCTCTTCCTCCTCCTTCGTCTCCACCTCCTCCGTCTTTTCCTCCTCCTCCTCCTCCTCCTTCTCCTCCTCCCTTCTCCTCCTCCTCCTCCTCCTCCTCCTCCTCCTCCTCCTCCTCCTCCCTCCCCCCTCCTCCTGCTTCTCCTCCTCCTCCTCCTCCTCCTCCTCCTCCTTCGTCTCCACCTCCTCCGTCTTCTCCTCCTCCTTCGCCTCCTCCTTCTCCTTCTCCTCCTCCCCTTTCGTTGCCGCGCCCGACGTCGGTTTGCGTGCCGTGCCGCTGCCGTTCTGCGCGCCGTGCTCGGCGCCGCGCAGAGCCCTGGAGAGCGCCGCCGAGCTGTGCCGTGCTCCGCGCTCTGCCCCGCCTGGCGCCCTGCTGCGAGCCATGCCGCGGCCGCGCTGTGGCTGCCGCCCGCGTCCGGGGCGGGGCAGCAAGTGCTTGGACTTTCGCCATGAAATCGGCGACGTCACTAAGTCAAAAACCAGCCGCCCGATCCCAAAAGCGCCGGCCACCCAAGGGCCCTGGATTCGGCGGGCGGAATCGGGAGGGGCGATCTCGGGGTAGAGTTTTTATCCGAGGCTCTCGCCATTCACGACCTTCACCCCAATTCCGCCTGCCGCTTCCCGGGTCCTCGGGTGGCGGGCGTTTTTGGGATCGGGCGCTGTTTTCTGTTAGTCGCAGCGGGGAAGTGAGAAGGAGAAGGCCTTCTCAGAAGGCTCTGAAGTCCCGGGACCTTCTGAGAAGTTTCCTGAGCCTTCACCAGGGACGCAGAAGAAGAACCTCTCAGAAGGCCGCGGAGGGCTTCTGAGAAGCCCCGCCGCCTTCTGAGAGGGCCTTCTCATTCTCACTTCCCCCCCTCGCTCGCCGCCGATAAAAGGAGGCGGTCGCAACCCTTCCAGACGAGCAGTTCTGGACCCCCCCCAGACCAGCCACGAGAGGGCGGTCTTAGGCCCAGACCCCCCGGAGCCCTCCGAGACAGCCCGAGTCAGAGACCCCCTCCCTCATCAGACCACCCCCTCTTTTATCGCGAACTCCTGGGCGCCGGCAACCTCAGCAGCAGAGGCGGGCAGGCCGCGTCCTGTCGGGTGCTGTGGCTCGCGCCTGCAGCGTGCCATCCTGTTGTGCTCACCGCTCTCCGCGCCCTGGCGGGCGCTTGGTGTTGCGCGCTTGCAGCGTACTTTTCCCGCCCTCCCTTCCCCGTGCGTCTGTCGCTCGGGGGAACGAGCTGCAGCAGTGGCTCCGCTCGCCCGGGCTGACGCGCCACTGCGTCTTGCCCATGGTCGGCGCGACGACGCGCGGGACGACGACGCGAGGGCCAGGCAGAGTCCTCCCCCTCCTCTCCTCCCTTTCCTCCGTCCGTCCGTTGGTCCGTCCGCCCGTCCCTCCTCCTTCTCCTCCTCCTCTGCCTTGGCGCGTGTTCTGAGGGTCATGGAGTTGATTGCATGCCTCAAGATCAAAGTCAGTAAGTGCACGGTGGTCCCCCTCTTCGGCCCCATCTCGGATTAGACGATTTCTGAAGTTCGACGCATGTATGCTGTACTTAGGTCTTTATCTAGGACCCACTGCGACCACTGAGCGATGTTGGCGAGTACCCCTAGCTAAAGTGCGCTGGCCCCCTTCCTGTCACCAATTACGGTTGTGAAGTCTACGGGATTTCGCCCTCTGAGCTGGTCAGTCTTAGGCGCAGTCTGGGGCGCGTTATGAAGCCGTCTGCGGGGGGGCGTTCCTTGAGGACCCTCCTGATTCTGGAAAATGACCCGACTTGGCTCACCCAGGTTGCCTGTGTGTGCAGATGGCATCGAGAGCTCTGGAGTGCGGCTAACAACCTTCACCCCGCGGCCCTCCCCATCCCCCATCTGAGAAGATGTTGGGAAAGTGTGTTTTCCAAACCTGTCAAGTCGTGGCGTTCGGTCTCGGGACCCCTCTCGGCGATTCGGCTCACGTTATCCCGCCTGGGTTGGAATATGCCCAGCTTTAACCGTCTCATCGATGATCTTGGAAATTGTCATGAGCTTTTGTTTACGTCCCCGTCCCTCCTCAGGTCACATTTGAGGTCGGCTGTGCTCAGGACTTTGGAGAGAGAGCTCGGCGCGAAGCACGGCTTCGGGCACCGCCTCTCCTTCGATGTTGTCTCGTCCTACCTCGCCTCTTCCAAGTACACCCCTCTTCAGAAAGGCACCTTAAGAGCATGTGCGACTGGAGCCATATGGACTCGGTTATCTGCAAGAGCGAAGGGTTATCAGTTCCCCAGTGAATGTGAGTTGTGCGGCGCCGCCTCGGACTCTTTGTTTCACCGAATCTGGAGGTGCCCACATCTGGATTGCTTCCGTCGAGAGCTGGTCAAAGAACATTTGGTGGACAATGTAGTTGACTATGTTAGTACCTCCTCCCACCTCTTCACGGTCATTCATGGAGCTTTCCCTCACCCGGGTGATTATCTTCCACCTCCTGTTCAAATGGATGAAGATACGATGCGCATCATGTGGCTAACCGACCCTCCCCAGCCAGAAAATATAGGTGGTTCAGTTTTTGTAGACGGCTCGTGTATGCGTCGCGTGGTCAGAGAAACTTCCAGGGCTTCGTGGTCCGTGTTTGTTTATTCTCCGTCCAAGGAGCCGCTCTGTCAAGTTTCGGGGCCCGTCTGGGCCCACATGCCCCAGACTCCCCAGGCTGGCGAATTTTGTGGGTATTTAGCCGCTTTTCAAATTTGTAACCAAGAGTTTCATTTAATTTCCGACTGCGAGAATGTAGTTAAGTCACATTCCCTGGATAGGCTCGCTCAATTAGCTGACAAGAGAATGTATGCTGGCCATATCCAGCAAGCCAGGTCCTCTGGCAGCTTTAATCTTTGTACTAGGACTTCGCACGTCAAAGCCCACCAGTCCTTGACCGACGAGTCGGCTTCTGAGGAGCTGTTGTTTTGGAGACGTGGTAACGACCAGGCCGATTCGGCTGCCAAACACGCTCTCTCTAGACACAAGGTCGACGATGAAGGTGAAGAAACGCTTGCGAAGCATGTGGAGTATGCTCGAGCGTTCTGTATTCTTGCCATGCACCTTCTGCCCCATTTTTCGCCCTTGCGAGATTTTGGCAATGTCGAATACATCAAACCTGTTCCCCCCGACAAGAATTGTGTCGATCCTCACTGTTGGGTCCACATTGGCAGATTCTGGCGTTGCACGCATTGCCTCAAAGTGCATCGGTGTCAGTGGCCCCAGAGACCTCCTCCCAGTAGGTGCCCTGGTGAAAGGGAGCTCGTTTCTGAATTATCCCACAACAAACACCAGTGCCTTAGTTTCGCTTGCAGTGACGGGGCTGAACTTGTCATTTGCATTTCCTGTAAGTCCTACACGTCGCACGGACGGATGAAAGGACTTAAATACTTGTGTGTTGGTCGTCCCACCAAAGCTGGTCTCAGGGCCTGGAGGTCGATTGCCAAGGGTAAGCATCCAAATCGGGCAGGCCTGTCCGTAGATTGCCCCCTCCGCTTCGGTGACCTCCCTCCTCCGCTCTCCTTGAGGCCTGCTCGAAAGCGCGCTAGCTCGTACTCGGACTCGGAAGAAGACGAGCGCAGGCGCGCTGTAGGTATTTCGTTGGCGGATACGGCCGAAGCCGCCACTCTCCACAGTGTGTCTCAGGCTCTGAGGGCGGAAGCTCCGATCCCTCCCGTCGTGCTCCCTCGCAGCCATCGTGCTTCGTCGGACTCGGATTAGACTGCAGTTTGCTTCCCAGCCATCGGAGTCCCCGTCTGCCCTAATTAGGGGATCAGCCCTTAACGCTCGTGCAGCTGCGGGGCTGCGCGAGCGCTCTCTTTCCTGCCGCCTGAATTAGGGGATCAGCCCTTAATCTCTCCTCGCGGTTCCTCACCGTGTTCAGCTGGTGAGGGGCCGCTCGAGGCGTGCCTTGAGGGTGCGGGGGGGGTGTAGCACATCCCCCGTCTGCCGCCCCCTGGCTTTCCCTGCTGCCTGCAACGCCTGGTGTCAGGGGGGTGGCGTGGAGGCTTCAACGCATCCCTCTCGCCTCCCCAGCCTTGCCAAGGGTACGCCCCACCAGTGGCAAGAAGCATTCAGGGGTTGAAATGGAAAAAAAAAAAAAAAAAAAAAAAAAAAAAAAAAAAAAAAAAAAAAAAAAAAAAAAAAAAAAAAAAAAAAAAAAAAAAAAAAAAAAAAAAAATGCCCCCTGGGCATGGTCAGCAACGAAGCGATTCCTCAGCTAAAGATGTCGGGTGGCCCTGCGCTGCCGGCATGGCTTGCACACGCTGCTGCTGCTGCTGTCCTCTCCTCGGTTTCGACCACATTCGCAGATTTCCCGATCTGCCCCCACATGATGCGCATGCAAGCTCAACGATGGCAGATGGGGATTGACGACGAGCGCTTCGATGATGTTCCCCTTGAGGCTGTGGATCGTATTCGATTTTATCCTAGGTTCTGGGCCGCCCCTGCTCTCGTTGAACATCTCGATGGGGTTCTCAACCGGGCCAGCGATGAGTGGATCCTTACTGCGCGTGACGCAATTCGAGAGGAGCTAGGATGCGAAGGTCGACGCCCTCGTCCCCAGCGTGCTGCTGCCGCCGCTCTCACTCTTCGACTTGTGGAAGGAGGATCGTTGGGGTGTGCTATACGTCGTTTTCTTTCTTCTGTGCTTACTGGTTATGTACCCTTCTTTGATCTTATCCAGTGGGATGCTCTTCGGCAGCTGCTGCAACTTCTCCCTCAGAGTTGGGCGCTAGCGGCGGTTCGTGCTTGGAACAACGGCTGGCTAACATCGTCCAGAATTCTTCACCCTGGAGGGCTACTCAAATGTCGGTTCGGCTGCAGGTGCCCTGACATATTCTCACACTTTTTTGTTTTCCCTCGTCTTCTCCGTGATGTGGGCACTGGTCTTAAACGCGCTCTTTCTTCATGCCTCGCGACCCGTCTAGGACCGGTCCAGCCGAAAGTGGAGCACTTCGAAGCATTGTATGCATTTAACCTTGCCCTTGAACGCGGCGGGCTCTATCTGGAAGGACAGTTGCGTTCCATGGAGGCGGCTGCGATTCGCTCTCTCCGATTGGCCAAGCCTGCTGCCCTGAAGGGCTGGAAGCCCCCAGAAGCGATTGTAGTGACATGTCTGCGGCGTACCGTGTCATCTTCGACCTCGATTTACCCGAGCAATTCCAGCTCTGATTCTTCCGATGATAGCAAAATGACACAGAGTTGATCCACCATGTCGGATTGCACAAAGATCGGTACCGTCGGCCCCGAGAAGATTGATTCCATGTTCGACTGGTTCATCTCTGCCCGTGAGTACAGGTCGTTTACGCGGGGAAGAGCTTGCGCCGTTCGACACTCCTTTGCATGTCTCTCATCGTGCGTCCTCCCCTCGTCCTCGTTCCGCTCTGAACGCTGCCTGGGCTGCTTCTTGCTCTCTGAACTAGCGGCTCCGCTCGACGGTATGATGCCGCACATGATGGCGGACCTCAAGGTGGGACCGCTGCCGCCGCAACCGCTCCTTCGCGGGCCCTAGATGTGGGATCAGGACTCAGCCTTTGCGCTCGTCTCCTCCTTCTCCTCCTCCTCCTCCTCCTCTTCCTCCTATTCCCTAGCATAGGGAAGGAGGTTCGAGTTGAGGATCGACTACAGAAATTGATTTACCCCCAATTTGATCTTCTCGTCGGCTCTACCAAACAATACGTATAATGTTCGTAGATTTTCCGTTTTTCTCGTAGAGTCGATTGAACAATCAAATTCGGGATGAATCAATTCTGTAGTCGATCCTTTACTCGAAAGGTTGAAGGTGCGCTCCTGGCGAGGCAGCGCTGCAAATACTAACATCGGGAGGGCGTTGGCCAGACCCCCGGGCCGAGCTTCGTCGCCCCCGGGCCGTCGGAGTCGGCGCTATGGGAGTTTGCCGCTCTCCGTCGGGCTTGCGGGCCTCGGAGGGGCTGGACACCCTGGCGTTCCCCGGCTCCGCCCCCGCCGCATGTGTTAGGTCTTGGATGTTCTGGATGTCGGCGTCGCCCAAACATACTAATGCTATGTGTGCGTCGCCCCCGCAAGGGCGACGCGCGCGCCAAGAAATCCGATAGTGTCAGCTCCGTGGCTGGCGCTTCTAGCCATGCCGCTAGGGAAGCGATATATTACGACATGGGCGTGCTATATGGTCGGGTCGGACGTCTGCCTCCAAGGAAGACGCACAGTGTAAGTCTGTCCTTCTGCGTCCCATGGATGCCTTGATGCCCTGACGTCGAGTGTGTACTTCCCCGCGCGCATGTGCTTCGGACCCCACGCGCCGCGGGTGGCCCCTTGGGGTGCCGGTCGGGTCGAAAAGATCGAGAGGGTCTGCTCTGGAGGAGCCGCGCCTCCTTGTTCTCAGGAGCGAAAAATAGTGCACGTACATGAATCCACGTTGGTTTCGGGAGTACGCATTGCCTGAACGTTTGTATCGCGCGGCTGGTCTCGCGGACTGGAGGGCCATCTTCATGTGCGTGGTTGGGCGCGTACGTCCTTTGTGGGCTCTATTTTATCCCATCCCCTGTCCGTTCCCTCTCCTTGCTCTCCTGCCATTCCAACTGGCCACCTTGTGTCCTTCTCTTCCTTCTCCCTTCCTCCTGCTCCTGACGTATCGGCCCCGTCCCCAGTGATAGTTTTTCCCTCCGGATCCAGGCCCCGAAGGCTGAGGCGAGTGAAAAATGTCTCGCCCGAAATCTGAGGAGGAGGAGGAAAGAGGAGGAGGAGGAGGAGGAGGAGGAGGAGGAGCAGGAGGAGGAGGAGGAGCAGGAGGAGGAGGAGGAGAAAGGGGAGGGGGAGGAGGAGGAGGAGGAGGAGGAGGAGGAGGAGGAGGAGGAGGAAGGAGGAGAAGAACAGAAGGAGGAGGAGGAGGAAGAGGAGAAGGAGGAGGAGGAGGAGGAGGTTGCAGGAGGCGGAGGGGGAGGGGGGGAAGAGGAGGAGGAGGAGGTGCAGGAGGTGGAGGAGGAGGAAGAGGAGGAAGATGAGGAGTAGGAAGAGGAGGAGGAGGGGAAGGGATGAGGAGGAGGCGGAGGAGGAGGAGGAGGACGAGAAGGAGTTGGAGGAGGAGGAGGAGGAGGAGAAGGAGGAGGAGGAGGAGAAACAGGAGGAGGATAAGGAGGGAGGAGGAAGAGGAGGAGGAGGAGGAGGAGGACCAGTGGAGACCCAAGACTCAACAACGATGTTGGAATATGCCCTTCCTCCAAGCTCGTTCTTCATAGGGTGCAGACAAGGATGTATTACCAATGAGGGAAGGGCCCCGCTGGTAGGCCACCGTTTGAAGATCTTAGAGCGTGCCAAAACACCATTCCTGGGACTTCAACAACACCGCGAATCAACGTAATTATTTCGCCTTGGCAGTCCTAAACCGCTCCGAAACGTTATTATTGGAACGTTCGCCATGGGAATCCGCGAAACTTTTGTGTTTTTTTTTCGAATGTGCGCGGCGCGAGGGCGAGAGCCACATTTTGAAAAGGAACCGCCGTCAATCAGTGAAGCTCCTGCAAATTTTGAAGACTCACGTGCGCGGCGCTAAGTCGAGAACCATATTTTGAAAACGACCCGCCCTCAATCCGTGAAGGTTGCACAGTTTTTGAAACGAATGTGCGCGGCGCTGAGGCGATAACCGCATTTTGAAACGTTCCGCCCTCAGTCTGTGAAGTGCTTGCAACTCCCAATAATGATTCGCGCGGCGCTAAGGCGATAGCCACATTTTGAAAACGGCCCTCCCTCAATCCGAGACGCTCGTGCAATTTTTCAGACTCATGTGCGCGGCGCTGCGGCGAGAGCCACATTTTGAAAACGACCCGCCCTGCATCTGTGACGCGGATGCCATTTTGTAAGCTTCAGGTTCATCAAGTGATAGAAGCGGTGGAAATTTCAGGCGAAGCGCCCGGTCCGCCCTTTCGACCAGCCTTGGGGTGCGACCGGGAGGAGTTATTTATCAGGAGCAGGGGTGGTAGTGAAGGAGGAGGAGGAAGAGGAGGAGGAGGAGCAGGAGCAGGAGGAGGAGGAGGAGGAGGAGGAGGAGGAGGAGGAGGAGGAGAGGAGGAGGAGGAGGAGGAGGAGGAGGAGGAGGAGGAGGAGGAGGAGGAGGGGAGCAGCAGCAGCAGCAGCAGCAGCAGCAGCAGCAGCAGCAGCAGCAGCAGCAGCAGCAGCAGCAGCAGACGGAGGTGCCGCGTCGCGCCGGGATCCCCCAGGAGGCCCGCCTCTCGAGGCCAGCCCCGGCGCCCCGCCAGGAGCCTGGGACCCGCCGGCCGTGCACGGGGCCCTGGAGCTGCCACCGCTCGCGCCCGAGGCGCCCCTCCAGGTGGCTCCACGAGTGCTGGAGGGAGGGCAAGCTGGATCGCTCGCGCCATGTCTGACCTCCTCTTCCTCCTTCTCCTCCTCCTCCTCTCCTCCTCCTCGTCCTTCTTCCTCTCCTCCTCCTCCTCCTCCTCCTCCTCCTCCTCCTCCTCCTCCTCCTCCTCCTCCTCCCCCTCCCCCTTCCCCTCCCTCGCCTCCCCCTCCTCTTCTTCGCACCCGCTTCCTCCTCCCCTCCGCCTCGGCACGAGTTCTCCTCCCTCAGTCCCGCTCCCCCCTGCTGGAGGCCCTGCGCCTTCGAGAGGGCCTTCCCCTCCGAGGGCTACACCTAGTCGCCTCGACGCGACGCTTGCCGCCTCGACCTGGTCGCCTTGCCACCCATCCCCTCCCATTGCGCTGATTTTTCTTTGTCCGCCGACGCAACATCACGGCGGACTTCGACCCCCCAAGAGGACCCCCTCGTGTCATGCGCAATCATTCGAGGGGAAGAGAGGGGAAGGGGACGGTAGGGAAAAGGCGAACGAGAGAGGCGAAGGGGCGAGCCAAGATTAGAGTGAGGGGGCTGAACCGAACGGTCATTCACTGTCCCTGGATGCGTGGCTGAAGCGGAATTCCGCGATGCGGATTCTAGTTGTTATTATTATTTGTTGTTGTGGTTGTGGTTGTGGTTGTGGTTGTGGTTGTGGTTGTGGTTGTGGTTGTTGTTGTTGTTGTTGTTGTTGTTGTTGTTGTTGTTGTTGTTATTGCTGCTGCTGCTGCTGCTGCTTTTGTTGTTGTTCTCTCATTTCTGAAGAATAATTATTGTTGATCCCCCCCGTCCTGTGCACATTGTTTTTTTCGATTGAAGTGCCCTTCGGGGCTCGCACCCTATCTTTTATCAGGGAAAGTCTTGAGGGTCAAACTGCGTTGTTGGCCCCCGGTTTACAACAACAACAACAATGGCTACCGTCTGATACTTCCTCACAATTTATTGAAGAATCGCGCTCTCGCTTGGGACTTCCCTGCAATTTACCACCGCATCGCGGCTCCCGCTTGATAACTCTTGAAAAATTATTGAAGAATCGCACTCTCGCTTGTTCAGTTTTTCGCATTCCGCCCACTCCTCCCCAGGCCACCCCATCCCACCCCAGCAATCTCCACCCCTTTCCGCTCGTATTCCGCATTTCTCCCAAGTTATTCCCAGTCCCTCCTCCAGATTCCTCTGTGCGCCCCCCGCTCCTCCGCACTCCTCCTGGTTCCTTTTCTCCACTCCTTGCCGCTCCCCCTCCTGAGACCCTGCTCTTGTCCACTCCATCCCATACCGCGCCACATCCCCGCGCTCCTCTCGACACGGTTGCAGTTCTCACTATCCTTCCGCTCCACTCTCCCAACATCCCGCTTCTCAGGGTTCCATGACATTTGTTTCTGACACCAGTTCGCAGCTGTACGTCCCCCCGTGGGGGTATCCACGATATGTTCTTTCAGTGGGGTGGTACGTGGCGCTGTTTATGGCGCGACCCATGGCGAAACTTATTGTTAACCTGTGTTGGAGTGGCTGGCGCAAGCCGTTGCGCAAGCTGAATCGCCACTCGCAGCGCGATCATCGTCCTCCCTCCTTTTTGCCCCTCCCTTCCCTTCCTCCGATCCCTTCGTCCTCACTATCCCCCATTATCTGTTACCCTTCGTTTTCAAGGGCGTCGCCAACCGCACGTGGCAGGGGATGAATATACCCCCCCAAAGGGGGTACGATCGAAGACGAAGAGGGCGGGTATCCAGGGTTCTGAATATGCATATTGGATGACACGCGAGCAGATAAGAACGAGCAGTCTTAAACTTATTGTTGTTGTCGTTGTGAAGGTTGTTGTTGTTTTTGGTTGTTGTGTTTGTTGTTTGTTGTTTGTTGTTGTCGTCGTCCCACCCGCGCCCCGCCCCGCGACCCACCCGCGACCGACCCCGCGACCCACCCCGAGACCCACCCGCGACCCACCCCGCGACCCACCCACGACCCACCCGCGACCCACCCGCGACCCACCCGGCGACCCGCCCGCGACCCACCCCGAGACCCCCCCGACGACCCCCCCGGCGACCCACCCGCGACCAACCGACCCACCCGCGACCCACCCGCGACCCACCCCGGCGACACACCCGCGACCGACTGGCGAGCCACCCGCGACCCACCCGCGACCCACCCCGCGACCCACCCCGCGACCCACCCGCGACCCACCCGCGACCCACCCGTTCCTCCGCCTCTCCACCCTCCTTCGACTCGCTGCGCGGTCCTGGAAAACCGGTGCCAGGGCTTGTGGGCCCCCCCCGCGCTTCGGGAGGGCCTGACCCCCGGGGGGCGGACGCCATCGATCCACCCCGCACCGATCTCGGGACGGGCCTGCCCTGGGCCCTGGAGCCGCATACGCGCCCTGCGGGCTGGGCCCGGGGGGCGTGCCCCCAGGTCCTGGGGCCCCGCACGGGCCAGGCTGGGCTCGGCTGGCGATTTGCTGGGTCCAGCGCCTTCCCTGGCTCGGCAGGGTGAGGGCGTCCCCCTCCCCCACAGGTTCCAGGCCTCGGAAAAAATAGCGAACGCTCGTGCCACATTTATCGGTCAACGCCTCCGCCCCCCCCCATGGTCAGAGTGGGCGGTGGGTCTGATGAGTTGCACCTCGACCGCAGTCTCCCTCCGCGCGTACCAACTTGTTGAATTATCGGGAAGAGGGGATTGTTCATTTAATTCAGAGAGAATACAAGGACCCCTAACCCTAATAATGCAATGAAGACGTTGCCTCACTGAGGTCCCCGTCTTTGCATTATGGATGATATATCTGGGCAGTTTGGTTCGATACATCTGCAGGAGAGAGCCTCTATCCCTTCTGATTTTGGTCCTCCTAACTTAGGTTCCCCCCAAAAAGGATAAGGGGTCCCTTTTGGGTCAATCATGATTGTTTCCCTCCACCGTCGCTCCTCTCCTGCCGAGACCCTCCTTTTTTGGGCCGCCTGCCGGCGACGCCGCGGACATCGCCGAGCGGCCGGTGCACACGTTCCGCCACGACCTCTTCGTGCACGAGGACCGCCTGCAGCCGTCGGCTTTTGCGCGGGGCGCCAAGGCCAATCGCTTGGGTGGAGTCTTTCCCCAATCAGAGCTTGCCTCTGTAGGGGTCCTAGCGGATATAAAGCTGAGGTGAGGTGGGCGGCCGATTTCGGTGGCCTGGGCCGGGTGCCCGGGTGCCCGGGGGTTCCCGGGGGTGCCCGGGTGCCCAGGTGTGTGGCCGATTTCGGTGGCCGGGGCCGGGTGCCCGGGTGCTGCCCAGGGGTGCCCGGGGGTGCCCGGGTGCCCAGGGGTGCCCGGGTGCCCGGGGTGCCCAGAAGTGCCCGGGGGTGCCTAGCCCGATAGCCCTATAACCCTATAGCCCAATAGCCCAATCGCCATATATCCCTATAGCACTATAACCCTGTAGCCCTATAGCCGTACCTATACGACCACCCTTCGGGTGATAAGGAGGTTCGGCGGGGGGGAACCAACGTCTCACTCGACCGGTCTCATTATCGATCTCAGTATCGATCTCACTATCGGTCTCGCTCCATCGATCTCACTCGATCGATCTCACAATCGATCTCACTCGATCTATCTCATTCGATCGATCTCACAATTGATCTCACAATCGATCTCACAATCGATCACACAATCGATCTCACATTCGGTCTCAATATCGATCTCACTATCGCTCTCACAATCGCTCTCACAATCAACGTCATCATCATCATCATCAACATCATCAACATCAACATCATCACAAACATCGTCATCATCATGAGGGCACCGTCACCATCATCATCATAAACATCATCATCAACGTCAGCATCATCATCGGGACATCATCATCATCATCACCATCATCATCTCATCATCAACATCATCATCATCATCATCGGGACACAGTCATCGTCATCATCATCAGCAGCATCATCATAATCATCATCACCATCGGGACACCATCATGATCACCATCGTTCTCATCATCAACATTATCATCAACATCGTCATGATCCTCGGGACACCATCATCATCATGATCATCGCATCATCACCATCATCATCATCGACATCACCATCATCAACAACATCATCATTGGGGCACCATCATCATCATGAGCAACATCATCATCAACATCGTCATTATCATTATTATCATCATCGGGGCACCATCAGCATCACCATCATCATCATCACCATCAGCATCATCAGCATCATCTTCGGGACACCATAATCATCATCAACATCATCATCATCATCAACATCATTATCGCCAGGACAGCATTTCCATCAACATCATCATCACCAACATAATCGGAATGATCATCATCATCATCATCAGCATCATCATCATCATCATAATCATCATCATCATCATCATCATCATCATCATCGGGACACCATCATCGTCATCATCATCAACATAATCATCATGAGCATCATCATCCTCATCATCGGGACACTATCATCATCATCGACACCATCATCAACATCATCATCATCTTCATCGGGACACCATCATCATCATCATCTCATCATCATCATCACCATCATCATCATCACCATATCATCATCATCATCATCATCATCATCATCCTCGCGGGACACCGCGGGACACCGGCGGGACACCGCGGGACACCGCGGGACACCGCGGGACACCGCGGGACACCGCGGGACACCGGCGGGACACCGCGGGGCCCCGCGCCCCGGATGAGAAACATTTGGTCCGGCCGCGCCTCAGCCACAGGAGGACACCGCGGGACACCGGCGGGACACCGCGGGGCCCCGCGCCCCGGAAGAGAAACATTTGGTCCGGCCGCGCCTTAGCCACAGGAGACTTTTTCTCGCCCGCCCACGCAGCTTCGCCTCGCACGCACGGCACGCACGAACACGAAACCGAAACCGATTTCCCGGTGGGGGGCTCGCCGTTCCACTTCGATCTCACCCCCTCACCTCCGATAGCCCTATAGCCCAATAGCCCAATAGCCCAATAGCCCCATAGCCCCATAGCCCCATAGCCCTATAGCCCTATAGCCCTATAGCCCTATAGCCCTATAGCCTTATAGCCCTATAGCCCTATGGTCCTAAAGCCCTATAGCCGTGTATAGCCCTATAGCCCTATAGGCCGAATAGCCTTATAGCCCTTAGCCCTATAGCCCTGTAGCCCTATAGCCCCATAGCCCTAAAGGCTTCTAGCCCTATATCCCTATGGCCACATCGCCCTATAGCCCTATAGCCCCATAGCCCTAAAGCCCTAAAGCCCCATAGCCCCCCCAAATTCTGATTGGGGCTTTTCTCTGGTATCATTCTTTTCTGTTTCTCTCTCTTTTTCTTTCTCCTCACTGTCTGTCTCTGTCTCTGCCTCTGTCCCTCTTTCTCTCGCAGTCCGTTTTGTTTTTCTCTCGCCCACTCCCTCTCTGTCTCTTCTTATGTCGTTTACTATCTCTCTCAGTCTCTCTCTCTCTCTGTCTCTCTGTGTCTGTCTCTCTCCCTCTCTCTCTTGCTGCATGTCTCTCTTTTCCGCCCCCGCCTCGGCGTCCTTGTGCACTTCATCCCCTGATTCAGAGCCACTTGGGCTCAAACTAGGGGTATATTTTCTTTCGGGTCTCCTCCATCCGCCGGCTCTTGCTGGCAAGGGGTAGCAAGGGAAGTTTTCGCAGCTGCAGCTCTACCAGACAATGTCTGCCGATGATTCAGAGAGCGCCGCAAAGAAGAGGAAGGTCGAGGAGGAGGCCGACGCGAAGATGAAGGAGGAGCCGACAGAGCTTGAGGGTGATGCCAAGAAGGAATCGAGGAAACTGATCGCAGATGCCGTCAGCATCGACCCTGCCAACGCAACGCTGAACGTGATTCCTGCGCTTGATGGCCGTGTTCTGATGCCACTGACAGATGGTGGCCTCCAGTACTTGATCGCCGGGGCACGTGCCAACGTGGGCATTACCAAGGTTGGGTTTGGGGATTCAAGACGTGTGATCAGAGTGAGGGGGCTGAACCGAACGGTCATTCACTGTCCCTGGGTGCGTGGCTGAAGTGGAATTCCGCGATGCGGATTCTTGTTGTTGTTGTGTTTGTTGTTTGTTGTTTGTTGTTGTCGTCGTCCCACCCGCGACCCGCCCCGCGACCCACCCGCGACCCACCCCGCGACCCACCCGCGACCCACCCGCGACCCACCCCGCGACCCACCCCGACCCACCCCGCGACCCACCCGCGACCCACCCGCGACCCACCCGCGACCCACCCCGCGACCCGCCCGCGACCCACCCCGAGAACCCCCCAGCGACCCACCCGCGATCCACCGGCGACCCACCCGCGACCCACCCGCAACCCACCCCGCGACCCACCCGCGACCCAACCGCGACCCACCCGCGACCCACCCGACCCCAACCAGCGACCCACCCGCGACCCCCACTTCGACCCACCACCCGCGACCCACCCGCGACCCCCCACCCGCGACCCACCCGCGACCCACCCCGCGACCGCCCGCGACCCACCCCGAGACCCCCCCGGCGACCCCCCCGCGACCCACCCGCGACCCACCCGCGACCCACCGCGACCCACCCGCGACCCACCCGCGACCCACCCGCGACCCACCCGCGACCCACCCCGCGACCACCCAAAATTTTCGGCGCCTGCGGCGGGTTTCTTTTGCATTCGTTCCAGGTGGGAGAGAACCTGCGACCCACCCGCAGACCCAAACGCCGCCGCGACCCACCCGCGACCCACCCGCGACCCACCCGCGACACACCCGCGACCCACCCCGCGACCCACCCAAAATGTTCGGCGCCTGCGGCGGGCTTCTTTTGCATTCGTTCCAGGTGGAGAACCTGCGACCCACCCGCGACCCAAACCGCGTTCAGTGTACAAACCCAAATTTTCGGTGCCTGCGGCGGGCTTCTTTTGCATTCGTTCCAGGTGGAGAACCTGCGACCCACCCGCGACCCAAACCGCGTTCAGTGTACAAACCCAAATTTTCGGTGCCTGCGGCGGGCTGTTTTTGAATTCTTTTCAGGTGGAGGTGGAGAGCCCGCGACCCACCCGCGAACCAAACTATGTTCACTGAACAAGCCAAAACTTCGGCGCCTGCGGCGGGTTTGTTTTGCATTCTACCAAGCAAAGTTTTCGGCGCCTGCGGCGGGCTGTTCTTGAATTCTAGACGCTTCGCGTATCCCCACCAGTCCCCACTGTCGTTTTGCTACGATCACGACGGGAGCGTCCACGCGCCATTTTGGCGGCGTTTAATTTCTCGGTGGTAGACAGACTCCCTGGGTTTGCCACTTGCACGTTTCCTGGGCGTTCCTTGCAGACTTCCCAGATTGCACTCTCGCCTGGCTTCTCAGACGCCCTGGGTCGCTGCCCCCCCCGCCGCCTGATCCGCGGCCCCCGCGCGCGCCCGGGAATTTAGTCGCGGCCGCAGCCCGACCGTGACCGCCCGCCGTCGGCGCTTTCGCCTGCGGCTGTAAAAAAAAAGTATCCCCACCAGCCCGTCCAGAAACGACGCCCAGGCGATCAGAGGGTCGTCCTGAGGGGCTTTTCGGCGTCTTGGGTGCCTCGGGGGGGCCTCTTTGGGCCGTTTGGGATCCTCTTGGGGGCCTCCTGGGGGCCTCTTGGGGCCATCTTGGGGCCATCTTGGGGCCTCTTGGTGCCTCCTGGGCGCTTCTTGGGGCCATCTTGGAGGAAATCGATCAAAGAAGAGGGGAGCTTCAATTAGCGCTGCCCCCTCAGAAGGCCAAAATGGGGCCAAAACCTTGGTAAAATCAATGATTTTGGCTTCCTCGGCGAGGCCGTTTTGGACGCTCTGACCGCTCCCCGCCCCCCCTGTCCAGGTCAGTGGGGAGGGGGTAGGGGGAGGGGTAAACCCCTCCCCGAAGGGGAAGAAGGAGGGGTGGAAGAGGAAACTCGTTAAACCACCGACGCCCTAAAGGGCTGGTGGGATTCCTTCCAAATGGAGGTGGAGATCCCGCGACCCACCCGCGACCCATCCGCCAGGTGGAGGAGGACGACGACGACGGAAAGGAGGAGGGGGGAGGATCGGGATGGGGGAGGAAGAGGAGGAGGAGGAGGAGGAGGAGGAGGAGGAGGAGGAGGAGGAGGAGGAGGAGGAGGAGGAGGAGGAGGAGGAGGAGGAGGAGGAGGAGGAGGAGGAGGAGGAGGAGGAGGAGGAGGAGGAGGAGGAGGAGGAGGAGCAGGAGGAGGAGGAGGAGGAGGAGGAGGAGGAGGAGGAGGAGGAGGAAAAGGAGGAAGAGGAGTAGGTGGAGGAGGCGGGCGACGACGACGACGATGAGGACGAGGACGCGGACGAGGAAGAGGAGGAGGAGGAGCAGGAGGAGGAGGAGGATGAGGAGGAGGGCGCCATCGACAGGGAAGGTGAGGGCCACGAGCTCCGCCAGCTCGATGCCCGCGTCGCTCGCGCCCGCCCCCTCACTCTCATCCGCAATTTCGGGGTGCTACGTACTATCGCAAAGACCTCAAACAGTAACCCTGGGAATATACGAGGTTCAGCTTACCCTGCTGGCATCCTCGCGTGACCACCTCCAACGCTCTGGCAAACATCCCACACACACCCGTAACTTCTCGGCAAAACCCAACAGTCGCAATGCCACGGGAACCATGTTCACACAGATCCATGACTCGGGCGGGCGTGTGACGATTTTGACGACGAATTCGGCAACGTGACGAGGATGGTTGTGGTTTTGGCGACGATGAGGAGAGCGGCGGCAACGACTATGACGACGATGATGCTGCTGCTGATGATGATGAGCATGATGTTGATGTTGATGTTGATGATTCTGCTGAGGATGATGAGGGTAATGATTGTGATGGGGATGATGTTTCGGATGGTGATGAGTATGATGATGATGCGGATGCTGATCCTGCTGCTGCTGATGATGCTGGTGATGCTGATAATGATGATGATGCCAGTGACAACGACGACGCTGGTGGTGATGATGACGACGACGTCGGTGATGGTGATGCATGTGACGGTGCTACGGGTTAACATGGCAATGATGACGCTGGCGATGATGGGTGCGATGGTGCTAGTGAGGATGATGAGGAAGTGCGCGCGCACAGAAACTCTGACAGTTTTTCATCTAATGACCAACATCTCGAAATGCTCAGATCATGCATGGATTTGCAACGAATTCGACACGCGGGCGAGAACACGCGCGTGTGGCTCGCATGGGATTTTTCGACAGGTGGCGGGTGGCGACAACAGTAGATTCATGTCGACATGCGCGCGCGCGTGTGGCCCGCATGGTTTCACTTGCAGCGAAGTCCGATGCTTTTCTTACGATTTCAGCGTCTGCGCGCGCAGCAATCTGGCATTCGTTTCAGGAAGGCAACCGCTGACTGCTTATTTTGTTTAACGCTCATTGGATCCACTTGTTTTGGAAGGAGTTTAGCATGTGCGCGCGCATGTGGTCCGCATGGTCTTGTTCGATACGATTTCACAGATAACGCACTTGTGAGATCAAAGCGAGTGCACCGCATACCATTATCTAGTGGTCTTCGGCCCATCCTACCACCGCGCCTGGGATGTAGGTCGCCGGCTTCATGGGTGTTTGTTGGGGTCTCTCGGGATGCCTCTCGGCGGCCTCATGGAGGCAGGTTTGAGGCCTCTGGGGAGCATCTCTGGGGCCGTTTGGGAGCCACTTTTGGGCTTCTTGGGGGGCTTTTTCTGCGGCATCGAGGGCGCCTGCTGACAGTTTCGGGGTTCCTCTTGGGGCGGAGGGCTTGGCCCTCAAGACTGCGTGAGATTTTGGGGAAGTTCACTGCGCGCCAAGGCACGGGTGCGGAACATGGGAGTCTATTTGTATACGGAATGCACAGACGCGGAGGAGGAGGAGAAGGGAGGAGGAGGAGGAGGAGGAGGAAGAGGAGGAGGAGGAGGAGGAGGAGGAGGAGGAGGAGGAGGAGGAGGAGGAGGAGGAGAGGGAGAGAGGGAGGAGAGGAGGACGAGGAGAGGAGGAGGAGGAGGAGGAGGAGGAGGAGGAGGAGGAGGAGGAGGAGGAGGAGGAGGAGGAGGAGGAGGAGGAGGCAGATGGATGGATACGTCAAACGTGGGAGCGGAGCTCACAGACAAAAATGAGCGGCGCCATAGCGACAGTGACATTTCGTGTGTCGCGCGCCACGTGCGCCGCGTCCCATTCCTGCCGCGCATGTTGCGCCATAGACGACAAAAGAGTCCATGCGCAGGGGAGACATGTTGACTTTGTATGGTTTTTGCGTAATGGTAGAGTTGAACGTCCTGGAGGTAGCCCCGTTTTTGTGCTTCCTTGTTTTTTTTTCTACCTCCCTTGCTTCGTCCTTTCCTTGTCTCCCTTTGCTTCGTCTGCGTTGTCCTGTCTCCTGTCTTCCAGGTTGCAGTGTGGTCTGGTGACGGATCTACAACAGTGCGCGAGGTCCTATCAAAAGCAGGAAGCCATTTCATGTTTCTGATTGCTTTTCTTTGCCCCTTTTTTCGCCGGTCCCTTTTGCTTCGTCTGCGCCGTTTTGTAACATTTTCGTCCGTGTCGGCTTTTTTTGGGGGGGAGGGGAGGGGAGCCCTGGAGTCCTGGGACGCATCGGCAAAAATGCGCACGGTGCTGTGAAAAGCAGGACGCTCTGTCAGTTTCGTTTTTTTGTTTCTTGTCCCCTTTTTCTGTCCCCTTCTCTTCGCCTGCGTTGTCCTCTTCCCCTCGCCGCTATTGCGTTTTTCGCGAGCACTCGGAGTCTTGTGACGCACTTACACCAGCGCGCATGGTCTTGCCAAAAGCAGAAAGCTCCCGTACTGATACCGGTGCCCTTCTCTTGTTCTCGCCTTGCTCTGGCCTCCTGGGCGGCCCTCGTTGCTATGACCGAAATCGCCACGAAACGCTGGTCAGAGCACGCTCCGAGAGTGGGTCGGGGGAAAGTTCTTCGGAGCCTCCTGCCCCACTAGGGGAGCTCCTGGGGAGCCCCCAAGAGC